AACAAACATGAAGCTTTCGTTATCTCCATAGTTCATAATAAATTTATTTCTGCTGTCACAAGAAAGAAGATGCGAGGCTTGCCACCCTATATCTCAAAGGATAAAAATTAATTCGAATTGCTTTCGCTCTTTCCAGGGGTTTAACAATACAAGTATCTATTTACTCTTTGCATAAGCAATATACGAAAATCCCTGTAGCTACAGATTTCCTTCAGTTTAGCTCGTGAAGCTACGTTTCTTTGAGTTGAAGTGCAAGGTTACGTCTTTTGTAGCTAAAAGTGGTTAAACTTGAACACACTATTTCACCCGCTAGTCACACCCATCCGTATGGAGTATTAAACCTAGTGTTTCATGTCACAACTTTGCTCCCACAAGAGGGTCAAACTAAAATACATAAGATGAAAAGTCGTGACCACACCGTTTTAGTTCCATCCAAACGTACACGAGCAGATGATCAATTTCGTGATTACGGTATATTCTCGATTTCCTCGAGGCAACTGAACCCAAGAACACGTCGGTTCATAAGAGCCAAAGCGACTTTGGGTCTAAAGCCCCCAAACCGAAACCTCCGGGATAGAACCACAGTCGGAACTGTAATGAGTCTCCTGTATGGATGGATGTATGTAATGGCCGGACCGAGACACGGTGCGTACAACCGACCCACACCCAAAGAGTAATGGGCGCGTTGGGAATCAGGTCCACTCTCTTCCGTGATCAGTGGGCATTACACTACAATGGTAGCAGTGGTTGACATACGACTATACTTCATTTGCACCAAACCACAGCAGTTCACTTTACACACTAATAATAATAAGAACTAAAATATACATTGAGAGTGCACACTATTTGAAGGTAGATCTGATCAGTGACAAAATCTGATCTCATATCAGGCAAGTTGAAGAAATGACTCATACCTGCAGCGTTTGTCTTGGAATCAATCTCTGTTGCTGCACTCCTTTTACTGCAAAACTTGGAACTTACAAAGTGGCGATCTAGACCGGCTGGAGATCTAGCCATAGTGAAAGATGTGATAAACTTCAATTAAACTTATCAGTCAATGACGCTTGAGAAAGTCTATATGACGTCAAAATGAGTCTCTCCTTGACTGCAAAGATTTAAGTTCACATGGTATCTATATCCCATTTGATTTACTAATTGTTGTTAAAATCGCTTGATGTTAGTCTTCATGTGGAAGTCTGAGTCCCTAGCAATTGTGATACACAACATCAAACAAACCCTACAAACACACTGGGTGTACCGACAAAGCTTCAATCGAGCAAATCAGTGGGAAATTGCTACTTTGAAGACTTTGGGAAATTGCGACTTTGGTCATGCACTGGTCAGTTTAACCCATCCCAAGTTTAGTTGCTCGTGATTAACATCAAGGATGGGGAGGATTCGCTACAACTGTACGGTACGGTTCCGTACAGTACAGTATATGCATGAGCGTATCTGTCAAGGCGATACCGTATTGGAGGAAATGATGGAAAATTGGGTTGATTTGACACATAAACAATGGCTTATTAGCCAGCAAATTCATTAGAAGGTCTTTGTGCTGAGCCTGTTGACCACCGACCGTTCTAATTCGATGCATGTCAGGTACAATTAAATTACGAACACGAACGCGAATGCTTCGCGAGCTTCCATAAGTAACACCGAGATTCGCATGTGCTCTCTCATATGTGTCAGTGAGTCCGGTCGGTGTTGCCGGGCTTGTCCAGCATTGCAGGCAGGCGTAATCTTCGATGTTCATTTGCCACAGCGTTGAGGCCTCAGGGATGTGGAAATAACCACGTACTGTCCAGTACTGGGCTCGGTAAGCGTGGATCTGCATCATAAAAGTACAACGTAGTCTGACACGGACTTGTCTTGACATCTGCTACGTCGACCAGGTTGGCGAGAGAAGGAGTAGTTCCCATAGAATGTGCCCGACTTCGTCCACCTCGTGTCCCATCTCTCTCTCTCTCTCTCTCTTTCTTTGTAGAATGCGAATCTTATCGGCAGGGATAAGCAAGCAGGTTGAGGAAGTTTGACATGACATGTGAGGGAATAAGAGAAGGGGAAAAGTCTATTTTAATCTTAGTCCGTATACGCTGGATTGACTGACCCCGTGGAATGAGTGTAGACGACAGGTTACACTGCCATCCCTTTCTTCACGGTCACCTTGATTTAGGCCAGGAGTGAGAAAGCTGATCACATCTCGCAATCATATACGACCCTCGCTCAAAGAGAATCTATCGGATTCTCTGGAAACCTGGTAGACCTTATGGCACATTGGACGAGGACAAATTTGTGCTGTGCTGCTCCAATTTAACGAAAGCCCGAAGGTGATGTACTTCATCTTCCCGGTTTATGAAAAGGAGCCGGAGCCGGAGCCGGCTTTTCTCTCTTCGGGCTTTGGGCCCTTCGACAAGGTGGAGGTATGAGAAGTGTGGGTTATTTGTTGCTCCCAGGGACGGCCCCGTGTTCACTCGAGCCGAGACGCTTAATGGTCCAGCAAGACGGACTTCAGTGAGAAAAAATCAAGGCGTTGGACAACATCTACACGAGGTTTGTGCACGGAGGCAGCCGCACTTTGCCCAGTTTGGACCGATCATAGATCCATTCAGAAATCAAAAGGAGGCATTTCTTTACAGTGCAGGAGGTGATGATTACTTGTAGAAGGTTCAACTCTGTCAGTTCCACTATTGAATATGAAGAAGCCAGTCATGTAAGAATGTGGCACGAGAGACAGGATGACAGTTGTGCCTACAGTAGGGAGAGACACATGCTGAAGGGGATTCCCAAAAGTGCACTTGGCATTGGCTTGCCTCATGATGAAACTCACCTGCACAACACTTGTGCCAGCAGCGTAGGTTGACTTAGAAGCTCCAAAATGGCATTAGGGATGACGCAGATGATCGACTCTGGTCCGATCAGCCGCGGGAAGTTAAAACCAACCCAGGGCGGTGGTGACTACCAGAAATGGTGCAAGATGAATGAAGTGAGTAGAAAGATTTCAACGTTTAAGCAACACTTCTACCAAGAAGAAGCACCGGAGGTACAAAACAAGTTGCACAAACGCGTAGACAGATTTCCACTTTTGGGAGTTGAGCGATATTACTCGAGGAACAGTGCTAGATCTGGACATGCAAAATCCAACAGTGGTGCAGTGCAGATTTCTAGTTGGCCAATCGGGCCTGCCAAACTGTTCTTAGCACCAGTCCAAACCAGGTCAACAATTCACAAGGGGCTGCGGCCTCTGGCCTCTGCACTCGATGTGAAGAGGAAATCAATGAGGTACGGTTGCGTCACTTAATCCACCTATGAAGGGCGATGGATGAAGTGATCACCAAACTCCCCTCAGAAAAGTTCAATCACCAAACTCCCCTTGCGTTCGGGAGCTGGGTAGCTCACCAGAACTACCATGATTTCCGCCTGATTGGATATGGCCTTCGTGCTCTGGACCGAAAAGCAAGCAGGGGATATAATTCTATGTTCTACGCGCCGAACTCGAAGGAAACCGGAGTCTATTCATTCTCAGTAGTTGAGTCAAGTTGACTCCAACGAAAAGTTTACTCGAAAGCTTTTCCTCTTCCAAGGCCAAAACACTCTAACCTCGACACTTGTCTGCAAAACTCCACTCGCCATGGTGAGTGAGGCAACGGTGCAACACGAGGCCGACCCACCAACATGTAGTACATGAATGTCTCGGCACATCGAACGCACGAAGGTGAAGATGTTGGCTCGACGCGGTGCCAGGGGGAGGCACCACGCTCGCCTTTGGACAATGACTAACCGCGTAAAAGTATAAAGTTCAAAGCAGCGTTCCTCTCCGAGCCTGCAGAAAAACGAGCCTTTCCTGGTGCTCACTAACAATCAGCACATGTTCATTATGGACGGACCTGTACTAAGTCTTCCTTGTCTTCACATTCATTCATTCATGTTCGTGTCTCCGATCGCGCACCGCAGTGCCTGCAGCTGCAATGCATCTAATCCATGCCCCTTTTCCAGCCATGGCCTAGAAAACAATCGAGGTAAAATTTGGTGATATTCATTCATGTTAGTGTCTCCGATCGCGTACCACAGTGCCTGCAGCTGCAATGCATCTAATCCATACCACTTTTCCAGCCATCGAAACAATCGAGGTAAAATGTGGTGATGTATTGCGAGTCCTCGACGAGGTACAGAGTCCTTATTCATGTCTCAGCTTCTCGGCGACAAGTATGCACAAAGAGCGAATATGCGCCGTGGCCAGGGGGAAGTACGATCTGTACTGTAACGCAATGACCAAACGATGGGGATCAGCTGAAGCCTCAAATCCCTGAAAGGCGTCTGCTTAGTTCTCACTTGGTCCCTCGTGCTCGCGGAAAAGGGAATGGAATCGTCTAAGTTTCAGGGCGAGAAGGAACCCCGTTATTACATATTGTTTCCGTATATTGTACTGTACTGTACTGTACTGGAAACCGAAAGCTGGGGAGCACGTACAGTACTGTACCAGGCCTTAACATTTACCCAACACAACCCGGAGGAAAGCCCACTGGGCTAGTGCCTTGGACCGGCATGCCTAGGCCCATACGGTGCATGCATGCATGCATACATGCGTACATGTCGTACATGATGATGGTGATGCATGCTATGACCAGAAGAGGTGACGGTGGGAAGGAAGAACGGGGGAGACCGGAACCGTTAGGAGGACGGCGGTAAGTCGCGAGTATTAACAAGAGGAGATCTGTGATGGAAAAGAGAATAATGAGAAGAGGGGAGGTTCGGCGACGGCCCTGCCCTGCCCGGGGCTGGTCTGCCCGGGACGCTTCAAGGTACCGGTCGCGGTCGTCAGAATCACCAGCAGCGATGCTCGATGATTCGGAGGCCACGAAACCGGGAAAGGCGCGCGACTGTCACTCCCGCAACCCGGGATACGTTGTACGTCAGACTCGCCTCTCTCGCGCTCGCTCTCGGTCTCATCCTCGGCCTCGTTCTGCGCCCTTCTTTTAAGAATGTCAAGCGCCTGCTCTCATTCGTCGAGGGCCAGAGAGAGAGAGAGAGAGAGGGAGAGGGCGAGCTGGTTACAGACCTCTCCTGCGTGCTGCAACGCGGGGCACATCTGTTGCGTGGCTGTGGCGTCCTTGGCTGGCCGGCCACGGCAATGCCAAATGCCAATTGCCCAGCTCTAGGCCGTCTACGTAAGTAGAGCAGAAGCAGTCGTAGCCTCCTGAGATCGATCATGGTCTGCATCCGGAACTGGCGTGGAATGAGTGCAGTCTGTGCAGCTTGAGCTGCTGGAGTCGGTGCTCTCAGGAGCCGAGGCGCTCGAGTGAAGCGCAGCGCAGTGGAGTGGAGTGGAGTGGAGTGCGACTGAGTTGAGAATTGCGCACGTCTGAGCTTGTTGCAGCTGCGAGCGGATGAGCAGCGAGGCAGGCTGTAGGCTGTTTCGGACGTGAGTGTCAGAGTTCTTCGCAGAACGCGAGGCCCCGCGCGAGGCACGCAGGCTTCGGCCTAGGAATGGGATGCTGCAGCAGGCGAATGCGCTGTGGTTGTGATTGAGCGAGGCAGGCGAGTGAGGTCGAGCGAGGGAGGTCGGAGGTGGGGAGAATTCGCGCGCCACATCGAATTTCGGGCGTGAAGGCCATCTATGCTCGCAATGACGAAGGTGGGGAGCCCGTTGTTCGTGCTGGGCGCAGGAGCAGACGAGACGGACCTTCTGCATCTGACCGAGAAGAGGGAGCCGCCATCGCTGCTGGAGTACGCCGTGAGGAAGAAGGAGGTGCTGGCGGCGAAGAACGTGGTGGAGGAAGTGAGGCGGCGAGTGCTGCATTTCCGCAGCGAGAGCAAGGCCGAGAAGGAGAAGGAGCGGCACGAGCGCGAGGAGGAGCTGAAGGTGGAGGAGAAGAGCAGGGCTGCCGCCTGGGCGTGGTACCAGCACGGGAACAGCGGAGGCCCGCCGATGGGCGGCACGAATTCGCTCAGCAGCCGAGGATTGTTCGGCTGCAATGTGCGCAAGGCTTCGCGCTTCAAAACCGAGGCCTTGAAGGTGGGCGGCAACCACAGCGGCCGCGTCGAGCCTCGTTGGGACTTCGAGACGTCGCTCTTCGATCCTTACGAGCTGGACTCCGTCTCGAAGCAAATCGATCACGCATTCCACGACACTCCCAAATCCGCCGTGCACCCGGCCCTTCCTCCGTCGAAGATCACCCGCAGCTGTAGCCTGCGCCTGTCGTTTCCGCGCTCGCTGTGTCGATCGATTTCCGACGTGGTGACTCAGGAGGAGATGGCCTTGGGAGTGCGCAAGTGCGAGTGCATCAAGGAGCGAAGCCGTCGCACGGGCCACGGCTGGAGCTTCCGCAGGATTTCCAAGGCCTTCCATGTGCTCATGCATGTGCCTGCCGGCGACGTCCAGCCTCACCACCACGACCAGCAGTTGCACCACCACGAACACCACCACCACCACCATCAGCACGAGCACGAACATCACCACCACCACCATTACTCTGTCCGGCTCAAAGACGGAACGCACTACGGTAAATCCTTCTCCAGCATTGAACGTGTGAAAGCAACTGATCCCTTTCCTAGCTACCCCAAAGCTCGGTGAAGCTCCATCTTCTCGTGCGGAGTGGTCCTCACTTCCCAATTGTTCATAATTCCTCCCGTGACTTCACAATCCTCCACCACCCGCCACCCCCTCGTCACTTCTCCGTCCCTCGACCCCTCCAGTCCTCCCCGCCCCCCTCCCCCTTCATTCAGCGCACTCGGAACATTCGACGAGAGTCTGTCAGCATGTTTGGCGTGCACTACTTCTTGCGGGAGAAAATTCTCGAGTGTCCAGGGGATTTGACTCTGAGTGGCGTGGATTTCTCCCGAATTGAAAGGTGGATTGTGTAGTCGGTCGTGATCCATGCATCTGGCGAGGGTTGGCTTGTTGCAAGGCACTAGCTCGAGACTTGTGTGTGCGGGTGGGGTGTTGGGTCCGTGGCGAGCTTTCCTACCGTCGAGTGGATTGCAGTGTAGCATAGTATACTCCTGTAGTTAACCAGCCGTCCTGTCTATAGAGACCTCCGGAGCTCGAAGGTTGCTTGCCACTGCGCGGAGTTGTGAATGGTGGCTGTGTCGCTGATGAGATGTGCCTTGCAACTGGCGCTCGCGCTCGGCTCTAGCGCCAGAGCCAGGGCGGCGCAGGCCTGCCCCGAACGAAGAACCCTTCTCGTTAGCACTCTCCGACCATCGACCAACGATCCGTGCCTCTGCTCCGCTCCTCGGAGTTGTCCTTCCCTCCCAATTTTAGCTGCCGCTCTCTTTCCAACCTACAGAATCTCATGAACACGCGTGGATTAAATTCGTAGCCCTTGCATCGGATTACGGCCTTCCGATCCCTGGGATCCTCGTCCGCGAAGAGCTTTGCAGCAGTCACGATTCAAGCGAAGCTGCACCAGCCTTAAATCAGTCCCTCTTCTCCGACTCGGTGTCCAGGGCTGTTATTATTTTATTTCCTGAGGTGCGCCTTTGCGGCAACTGGGTTTGCCCCGTCCTGTCGCTGCTGCAAGCGAAGGTAAGCCATCAGCTGCCAGAATATCTTGTGACTTAATGAAGTTGTTTATCACGGCAAGTTTTTAGCGACCAGGAGATGTAGCAAATTTCTCTGCTCTTTCACTGAATCCTCGCCAGGTTCCTTCCGCTGGTCGCGGCCAGTGGACTTAGCGCCGAAGTTGTGGAATTCTCAGACGCCTTTCTTCGTCTTTGTGATTGCGTCCAGCAGATGATCAATATACTGCGCTACTGTCTTGACCACGAATTCTGCAGCATTCTTACTTCAAATTAAGCAAGCACAGCGTCCGATCGACCTCTTCAAGGAGCGCAGAGTAGGTGGAGTTTTAGTGAGAGGAGAGAGCCGCCTCGTTGTCCAACCCGACACTCGGGAAATTCGAAGTACACCAGATCATGAGGAGGTGGCGCATGTCTATAAACTATGCTGCAGCATCGGTCTGGCAACCATCTTCGTAGCGGCTGCCCGACCGAGAATGCAAGCCTCGAATAGAAGATTAACGTACACGACGAAGGGACCATTCTCCCGATCGACACTGGCAAGAACCGACGTGACCAATCGCGGCGCAGAGCGAGAACTAATTTGGCCCCGCAGAGAAAACTTACACGAGCTCTGCACGATGTTGCCGAATTGAGAAATCGCAAGGTCAGCTTTTCCAGAGAGCGAGCGAGTGACTGATTGGGTGTAATAGTAAAGTAAAGTAAAGTAAAGTAAAGCCAAGCGCGACTCTCGTTCGAGGGAGGGTTACCCCGCTTACCTCATCGAGTCGTGCTACAGACATGGTCATTCCTGTAGAGGACGTGAACTTCACTGGCTTGTGTCATCGGATTTTATCTTTTTTGAGTTTCGGGAAAACGCGTCTCGAAAACCACAGCAAATGCAGAAAAGCGATGAGAAATCGCAATTGAGTCAGCTGGTTGATAAGTAGAAGAATCTTTGCCCCGCGGTGGGGAATGAAGTAAGGTTGTAGCCGTGCCCGTCTTTTCCTCGGGAAATTCAGCCACGTAGAAAGAGCATGAGAAAGTATATGATTCTAGCCAGAATGTAATGAAAGAGCTGTGGGGAGACTCTGTTGACTGGATGCTTGCTCGCTCACTTGCGTGTGTGCTTGCTCGCCGGCTCGCATCCTGTCATCCGGCCCCGTTGTAGACGATGATTCATCGCAATGAGAAGTTCCACAAATCACGATGCACTTTGCGACTCAACCTTGTGAGGAGTTTTTCTCCTACTGTTTGCACATGCCCAATCTCTCTCTCTCTCTCTCTCTCTCTCTCTCTCTCTCTCTCTCTCTGGCAAAGGATGACGATGACGACGACGGCGATGAGGAGGCGGATTCTGGCTGGCTGGCAAGATTGTTTGAAGGAGACATATTACCTGAGAAAGTAGAAGAGGCGTGAAAAGCGGCCGTTCTATGATTCACGACCATTGACTGTATGGGCTCGCGAGTTTATCAGAGGAGAGCAGAGTAGAGCAGAGAAGAGCAGGCGAGGCGAATCACAGAAGGTGGCGTTCTCGCTCTCTCGAGCTGTGGCACAGTATCCATATGGCTTCAGACCGGGCGGGCTAGGCAGCCATGTGCAGCCTGTTCCCGCTGAGGTGACGGACGGGCGATGGCCTGGTTGTCAGAAGCTCGGACCCGAGCGGAGGAGCCATGAGCCGTGAGCCATAAGTGGAGCTACGGCGGCTTCGGGCCCCGGAAGCTCTGTCTTCCATCTCGCCTCGCGCCATGATCAAGGGTGCTCTCTTTCTGCTGCAGATAAGGCCACCCATACTGCAGGCACGTAGAAGTCGAGGTGATCTCCGGGCCACTGCGAAACTTCTCTCGAGAGCACCGCACTGTCCGTCCGTCCGTCCGTCCGTCCGACCTGTGCACCCGCAGTTCCCACTGCTGCCTCGGAGCTCGAACTCCCACGCACCCGACTCGAACTCCATCACAAGTCGCAAGTACTGTAAGAGCACATTGTTCCAAAGTACTGATTCCGAAGCCCGTACGAATCATTTTCTCCAGAACTAATTTCCTCGTTACCAGACACTAGAAGCCCGTCCAGACTCAAGACAATTCGCACGAATGAATGCTGCCGCCATAATGCTCACCCTCCCCCACCACTCCAGACACCGATTCTCATGCCTCACACTGAGGTCGAGTCTTCCCTCGTCGCGAATCTCGATTCATGCTGTTCGCCTCCAAGTCCTGTCAAGCGGCAGTTGTCACTACGTTTATTCGAGCGTTATCACATTGTTAAACTTTGTTTCGTGAAGTGTAGGAAGCTTGGTTCTGGAGATCAAGGATCCGACGCTGGCATTTGACCTTCTGACGAGTTTCTGGTGTGAGATCAAATCACTCATTAACTGACCAAGTGGCTCTCAACGGAGTTTTTCATCGGGTCTCCAGCATGTTGTGCGGTTTCTATTTCATTGGCTTCATACTCTATTGAGTTTCAAAGCTCCGAGCCCGAGTGACGGCCCCGTTAACTTCGGAGTCTGGGTGAAATTGACAGTCAACTAATCTGGAAGATGTCTTGGGATATAATCCTCAAAATGTTGCACATGTTCTGCGAGCCCCAGTCTCTCTCTTCTCTGCCTTATTCCATATTCGAGCTTAGTATCCCAGGGCAAAGCGCGAAGGAGAGCAGATGCTTCGTTTCATTTGTGTGGAATAGAGTCCGGTCACCAAAATGCGAGCTTCACTTTGCGCAGTGTCCGTCCTTTCCAGCTGACTGGAGAACAGCGATTCTGTAACACCGAGTTATGCTTCCGTATTGTTAGTTGGAGAAGAGGAAGACCGCCGCAGCAGACATGAGAGTCACGAACCTTCTGTGATATACGAGAGCTTTCTCTCCAGTTCCTCAGACACAACCACTTGCAAAGCAGTTAGATTCTGCAACAGACAATGCCGTCACAAATTCCTGCAGCCTAGTTCCGGTGACGTGCACGAGATTGTCCCTGCCTGCCCGCGCGAGCAGTACACTTACACTCAACAGACAGGCCCATGATAGACGACGTCCCCCAGAATCCAGATTCTCGTGAGAGAAGTCTCGAGCTCCGTGCAGCTTAGCAACTGCTATCCAGTCCCGTCACTGCCACATACCCTCCCTCGTCCCCTGGCTTCCCTGACGCCCTAATGATTCTCAGAAGCACAAGGTGCTCGACCTCTCCTGTGGCACCACCAGCCCAGCCCCTCCGCAAGACATCCGTGGTTATATGTGAATTTCATGTCCCCTGCTTGCTGGATGTGGGTTTCAGCACCCTGCCAAAAAACAGACTTCTGAACCCAGCCTCAAAAACTGCCTTGACGAGCATGAAATCTCGTTGTCTACCTGCAGTTGATCGGCTGGGTCCTTGTGTTGAGCACAGATGTGCACGGGTTCCCGCAACAGGCCGGCAAAGGTAGAGTCATAAGGTTCGAGAATGGGTCAGAAGAAACAAACGAGGATTCTGAGCTAGAGTGGTACACTCGGCTCTCACATGGTGAATGTCGTACAGAGATTTGGGATCGATCCTCAATCGAATGTAATCTACGTTCGTGCACGCGTATCTGATTTTACACCATCTATCTCCACCACGGCTTTCCTCGATGCTCTGTCGACGTTGTCGGACATGGCCCAACAGGGTTCGTACGAAATACCAACAAGGCTATGGTGTATGACGTTCTTTCAACTATCTTCCTCAGACGTTTTTCCCATACACCGGTTCTACAGTTTTCCCGAGCTTTGTTCTCTGATGAGCACATGCCCTCAGAGTACGTGACATACTCTCAGAGCAATCCTTGGCGGAAAGGTGGCAACTGTACAATTCCTCTGCAAGTTCTTGCAGAGGAATTTTGCTTGCACCTCCTACAAAATAAAGATAGGACGGTGACAGCCTTTTGGGCCTCTGCTGATTTGAGAAAATGAGGCGTGATGGCCATGGCCATGGTCAGAGCACACTTGGCAGCGTGAATGCACGAAGATACCATGTCCACGCCGATACCGACAAACATGACATGTGACATGTGGGAAAGCGAGAATTTGACTTAAAGGCTCTCGAAATTGTGGCACGACCGCAGGTTGACCTCTAAATGTAGGGGCAGGGCGGGAGGGGAGACGCGATTTTATGGTGATAAGGAGGGATGAGATACGAAAGACATTTGAGGATGCATGCATGGAACACACAAACTTCTTAGAAATACTTTCAATTGCAGGGATATACTTTCCTTGTACACGACAAGAGAATGCCTCCTCCGTTCATCATGCATCATCTGCCCCTCTGTTCCTATTTATGCTCCAGAGTCAAAATTGACCACATGCATTCTTAGAGAGCAAAATCCAAACTTGTGAGCAAGCTCATGCCTCACAACGCTCAAAAAAGAATAGCTTTGCTGGAGATGGAGCTGGAGCATGGGTATTTTGCAGATCAATACCATTCCACAAGGAGACTTGTGGAGGGTCAGCAAGGCATGGATTTCTGCTAACAACATCTCAAATGACGGGAAGGTGGAGCTGATTTGGCGCAGGGTGGAGGACTGACTTTGCATCGAATCATTTCTTTATGCTTTTCCCAGGAACTTAACGGTGGAGCCAGACGTAGGTTGGAGCGAACAGAGGTAGATAGCATCATTTGAACACCACTTTGATATTAGAAAGAGTGAAGCAGAAACTCTTGTCCCTCAGAAAGGCCTCAAGAGCACGTATGGGGACAATGATCGTGAATCACGTCTGCCGAATCCCGTTGTCCTTTCTCCTGAGGTTCCACATACCCCAACTGTAAAGGTTTCAAAGGCTAGAGCTGAGGACATATATATATATTCATGCACTAAAATAGACACTAGTCGTCATGTACAGACCTCGACCTTTCTGCAACTTGCACTATCTCTTTCGAACCGTGTCAGACGAGGTAGGCTTCGTCCTGAAACGCATCCTTGAACGTCGATGTGAACCCCCCACACCCCAGATTGAATCGTATCCGAGTATCTGGGTGACACGCTTAGCACCTGAAGGTCCCTTCAATGCAACACCTTCATACAGACAAGTCATTCACTCACAAGCTTGCTATTCCATGTAAATGCTCAATCGGGGAAATGCAGAGTATTTTTATATATATATATATATATATATATATATTTCATCATTCATTTTTTGTAGGAAGCAAATGTCCATCCTACTGAAAATCCGGACTTTGCAGAAAGCGGGTCGCCCTAACATGTCTTCTGGTTTCTAGACTTTCTGAGGCCATCCATTCCCTGCAGGGGAATCACTTGTAAATGCTTTTAGCCAACGTCACTAGGAGAAACCTCGACCTACGTCACGCAATTCCATGTGACTCTTCATTTCTTTCACTCTGCAGTCGTAAAGGTGAATAGACAGGCGATGGGAAAATGCAGTTCAACTTGCGAGACGCCGAACACAGATTCCCAACTCACCAGCTCTCAATAAACTCTCGAACCGTCGTAGCAAACACCTGATTTGGATGGGCAGTTCACAGAACTTGACCAACTTCAAAAAGGAAAAACAGCTCAGATCTGCTTAAGTTGCGTCTTCAACATCAGAAAATTATATGTTGGATGGACATTTGAAACCTTTGAGACGAGAACGAGGATTGCATGTGTTCTAACCACGACCAACTGAATTATCGTTCTCCGTACTCTCCGAACAGTACGACAAGTCTACTTCTCGTGTACGACCAGACCGTAGACCCAACTGATGCCGACAGCGTCTAGTGTCATGACCTTCAAGATGTACCAATAAAGTACGAATTATGGCACTGACCTAGTGAACGCGAAATGACGAAAATTTAGTGAACACGAGTTGACGAAGATTATGTTACTCGTGAAGACTCATGGGACGTTGTTGATATATATTTGTTGATATTGTATCTGACTGACACTTCGAGAGTGCTAGATCATGAACACATCGCTCAAAATTGACGTGGTGGTATGAGCCACGTGTAATACTTCTACCGCGTTCTAGATAACTAGAAAGACGTCGTGGCTGGCTTGTAGATGACTCGAGACCTATGTTTCCGTAGCATCAAAAGTACCAAGGCCGATGGAAATCGAGAAAAATTTGAAGTCAAGGCTCCGGTGAAGGACGAATATAATGCAGATCTACGGACATGGGAATTTGCAGGGGTAGAGAAAAGCAGATTCTTGAGAGGGAAGCAATATTGCAGTCACTTGCATGCAGAAGCAAAATCCCGGACAAAGGGTGCTGATGATGAGGACAACATGGATAACGGGGATGGGACCCTTGCATGCACTTCGCGAACAGGTCCCACAACTAGTAGAAACTTCAGAGAGAGGTTGACAGGCGGACAAGGTTGATGAAAACAGGAAGCACTTACTCACTCACGCAGTGCTACAGCAAAGCCATGGAAATAAAACATGTCTCTATTCAGCACTTGACGAGTCGAAAGTCCCAGGGCCAGTGGCAGGCATTTTCATGAAAACATATTTTAGTCTAAGAGCAGATGGAAGGCCTTATATGGTTCACCAAGTTTGATTCTTTCTGGATATGATGGTGGCCAGTTTTGGGTCGTCAAAGCCTTAAGCCTGCCTTGACTAGCCCTTGGCAGCTTTTCGCTGCGGAAGGTTTAGCTGTCGTTGTAACTGCTACAAGATCATCTATGGGTTTCGCTCAGGGGGACCCATTCTGCTTGATAAGAAGGAACAACCTTAGTACTGTACTGCAGCAGAGCTCATATGCCTGTCTACTTGTTGGTCAAATGGAGCAGCTCGCAGAACGGGAAGGGCGTCAATGAGAAATCTGGACATCTGAAAGGAACTTGTTGTAGGTGAAGACGACAAGCTGTAGGTACTACCTCAGCAGTCTCGCTGCTTGTCGACACCAGATAATCTCCTCTTATTCCGCAAGTATTCAGGGGATGGAATGGGATTTTCCCTCGAACTACAGTAAGATTCTCATATTCATATTGATATAAAAGAAAACCGACTAAATTCCTGTAGTAAATCTGTAAGTCGACAAAGCCTGGCGCCATGACACTCGCAAAGTTTGGATGTATGTGGAAGTACACACTTGGTGCAAAGCTCTGTGGGGTGCAAAGGAAGGCAAGATTCGTTCTGACCGCCTGGTAGATCGATACAACTGCTGGCAACTTGCTTTTCTCTTTGGCCCTGCTTTCCTTATGATGGTGTTGGAACCAGGAGAAAGCACTCAGCTCATTGACCACAGTTAGAAACGTTCTCATGTGAAAACTGAAGGAAAAGCATGAACGTAGCTTCGAGGCTTGTAGCTAGAGGATACACGACTGGAGCTGCTCACCTGCGGGATTCGAGTCTCAGAATTCTCTGCAGTACCTGAGAACTTTGAAGCCCTGAGACCTGAAAACCTGAAGAAAACCGTAGACTTTAGATGCACTCTCCAAAACTATATCGATATTCTTCGGGGAAGTGTCAATAATCTGCCTTTTAGGCATCTGTTTACGTAAGGCTGACAGTGGAGGTGAACAGCGAAACGAGAAAGTTCTATTGAACAGTAAAATTGGAATGGCCAAAGTATGCTCACTCCGTTCTTGCCATTGAAGAAAGATTCTCTGACTCCTTTCTTATGGCCCAAATCAACGAGGAGAAATATGGCAGCTTTGTTTTGGGCGGTGTAAGTTTGGTGCATCCATGAACAAACTTTAGTGTACTGACAGAAATCTAGAGCTGACCTTTTCTTAAAAGTTCTATTGAGTTCACTGCTACAAAGCAGTGCGAATTCTCGCCTCGACTTTCAGTCTCTTATTCTTAGAAGTTTTGTTTCCATTGCTTATTTACTGTATATCTTATTATTATTTTACTTTCGGGTCGATAATGGTCTCAAATTTTTTTTGTTACAGCATTGGTTTTAAAATGCTGTGTTCAAGCCTTCTCTAACCAGTAAAATCTGCAGAATTTTTAATTGTCATTTATTGTTACGATCGGGAATGAAAGATTCCCCGCAACTTTTTAAGAAATTTTTATTTAAATGGATGTAGAACAAAAAAGATTTGTTGTATATTTTAATTCCTTCGCTGATTACTGCCACTGGCCGAGATGGAAATATGTGTTTAAAGTTATTTTCTCGAGTAGCAAACAGTCTTGTAGGTAATTAGGTGGACGACAAAGTGTAGATCACAAACATTCTCTCCTTCCGTAGCTGAATGTGCCATGTTCAATCATCATGAAAGTACTATGTTGTAGGTGGTCTACCCTCGTGATTCAAACATATTCTTGCACAAAGTCTGCACATCATCTTGTGAGTGGAAGTTGTAGGCTGGTACAGGGATGACATTTCCCTGAAAGCTTTAAAGAGCTGTTTCGAATTTTGTAACCAAAAGGATGAAAATTTCTATCCCACATACTATTTAGTTTCAAAGGGATGAGTGTACAGCACAAAGTTGGCGAAAAAATTGTATTGGAAACTTACAATTTCAAATAGCGATAATTTTGCTCTTCCAACTCATATCCATTGGTTACTACTAGTGGTTTAACCAGCCAACTCTTCACATAGCATAAAAGGTTTCATGAGCAAAGTAAATCTGAAAGCACATTCACAGTAACTTTATTTCATGTGGCCTTTCAGGTACATAAAGTTTTAGTCGATGATCAATACTTTTTCTTTCGTGTGGTGTAAATTTATACTTGACACTTTATTCTGCAAAAAAAAAAATATCATAGCTCACGATTGCAGGATAAATGTATCCCACTCGGATAAGTGCGATCACAACACTCACAACGGTAGAAAAAAACAAGATATTATCTCAGCTTTGTGATGCAAGACACTCTCGTCAAATGCTAGCTTTAAGGAAAAGGACGTTATATAAAGACAGCCCAAGGCAACAACAGTCAATCAAAAAACCTCAACGCTTTTCCCTCACACAAAATTTCCTTGGCCTCATCCAACGCATCACCAGCGTATCACAGACGCTTGAAAAAAAGAGTGTGATGCTTGTCAGTCACCAGACTGGTCATTTCACTAAGGGTTGAATTATAATTTCACACTTCTACGTGACCACTCCATCAGAAGCTCCACAATATACAAACTGTTCAACCTCAGAACGTACCTTCAGTCATCGATCGGGTGAACACGAACACAGAAAGTCTAGATGTCTGTATATTGACGCAATGTAGCACTGCTTGTCATCAGACGTATTTACATCGAGCTCGGGTGTTTGGCATCCTAGTGTACTAAAGTTTCAAAGCGGGGCAGGGGTGTAAGCGAGAGACTACAAACGTCACTCATTTTCATGCTTAAGTCTACGACTACAAACAGTCCACAATGCACTCAGCGGTTGTTTTTAGAGCCCGCCTCCTTCATCGTATCTCCAGCGCCGTCCAGCAGGTCGGCCGCCTTGTCCATCATTTGCTGCATGGTGGAATGACTTCCCTCCTTCTCTTCGGCCTTCTCTGCTCCAGTCCTCATGTAATCCGAAGCATCCTTCATCTTCTCACCAACCTTCTTCACTCCCTTCTTGGCCTTCTCCACCAGCCCGTCGCCATCGGTCTCCTCGATCTCATGCTTGACGAACGAGTCGACCCGCATTTCTTCTCCCACAGCATCGTTTTTGGCTGCGTTCGTCGTGTTCCCTGCGGTAAGTAAACAAGGTGAGCATGTCATTTCTGTGCCCACCCCGCTGCGGCTCATGTCACACAACATCAACAATAGCATTGCAGCATGGCATTTTAGTCGGCACATCTGACATCAAGGTACAGACATCTGACAAGCCTCGATGAACTCAACGCAACGCAAGGCAACCCACAGAGCAGAACGTCAAGGAGTGCCGATCTTTACCAGCGCCCAAAACATCCTCGGCTCCGTCTTTCTGCTCTTGCTTATACACACCCTTCCCGTACGCTCTCACGCCGGAAGCTGGAGCTGCAGGACTCGCGCTCGGGAGGGACCCGTGTCTCTTCAGCGTTGTCTCCGGATACGGTAAATTCCACAGAGCTTTGTACTCGTTGTTGATCGTCCATGTAATGTGCTTGAGACAGGTCCAGTCTCTGGTTCTCGCCATCGCCCTCCTCATTCCTTGGTCCGGTGGTATCTTCGGCACCCACGATCGAATTACAGCACTCTCTCTCTCTCTCGATCTATCGCTGTCACGAACGTTGTCTGAGCAGCCGAGACGACCTACGCACATTTACATATTGACGTCGTTACGTGCCGAGGAGCATGAGCAGCAGCGGCAGGACATTGCATTCTCGCGCAATTCCGCATCGGAGGGAGCGCGCAGCGATGACAGCGGCAGCGTCGTAGTCGCCGAATCCTACCGAACTTATTGACACCGAGCAGCGAATGAATGGGTGGTTCAGACCCGCGGCGACAAGTGTTCCGAGCATGATTCAGAGTTGACAAGTGTACGTCGCGACCCGGCTTCATGGCGAGAAAAGCGTCACTCGTGCTGCTTATCCCTCGAGCTTACATTTTCATTGATTACCGTTCCCAATCCCCGTCGCGACAGGCTCGACCTAAACATTCCGTCCGCCTATCCCTCACGTCGTCCCGAAAGGATCCGTCCCCTGTCCACTGAGCGACCACTACTCTCCCAGACAAAAATACTTTAATATTTCCGCTAGTACTAATGGTATCAGCTTTCTAGTGTAATATTTTCTAACGTCTTCCTTTGCTCGAGTAAGCGACCAATATATCCTCTTAATATATTCGACCGTGGGACGTAACTTACTAGGGCTACAGATGATCTCCGTAAAACTTCATGTTTCGGTGTAGCCCTGTTGTGAAACGGAATATTAATCTGCCCTCGTTAGACAAGAGTTGTTAATCTGTGCAATCCGGCAATTTTTGGGTGCTAACCCAAGTTATGAGATGCCAGCCCAAACTTAGCCATGACGCTCCAAAATTAATCATTGGTCAATTGTAGATCTTCAAAATTTATCGCTGGTCTACTGCGGAGGGAGAGTCGGTTAGTACTGTACCGTAGTCGGTCAACTCGGACCATTTTTATACGTTTGACGAAACACAGAAATAATCAAGTATTTATTTCCTACGATGAAACGCCCTATTTCTATCCGCTCTTGATTGGCGTTTGAAGTACATGCATACTGTGTATTGATCGCTCACCGGGACGCGGGCGGGCAGTTGACTTTGGTGCAATGTAATGCGGTGCAGAGCAAGTGTAACCAGTAGCAGTAGAGATAGGAGCTCCTCTGCGTCTGCCAGTGGACATTATCGAGAAGCATGCATGAACTGGTTTTGCAACCCACTAGGCCCGGAAAACAGTGAGCAAGTATTTATTTCCTTTTAGAGTCTTCCCATCGTTCTCGCTGTGATACTACAATTCAGTTCTAAGCGTGGGGATGAATAAATCAATAACAAAGGTAAGGCCTATCGATCTCCATGTATGAAACATCCATCCATCGATCAATACATGTATGAAACAACAGGAGTAACATAAGGCTAACCCCAATAGCATTACAATGGAAAACTTCTCATACTCCATTTTAGCTGTAGAGCTAATTAACCACATGCACAGCGAACCATCGTCAAGACTAATTACTTGCTTGCTGCGCGTGCAAACTTTAGTCTTCCTAGGTTGGTGCACATTTGCATACTAAAAACATTGTCCGGATGTACCCTTCAGACGTAATTCTCTTAGTATGTGAAACCAGAATATGCACGGCAGGGAAATCACATCTGCCAGCACTTTGACAGAGCCAGGACTTCGTGATGATGAAGTTTACGTTTCGAACACTGACCCGCCCACTGAAACACTACTCACGTTCCCTTGCACGCATCCCTTGTCGTGTATCAGTTATCACCACATCCGATATCATGAACCTCAACTTCTTCAGTACAGTAAGGCTGTTATGTACGTTGCAGATAAGTACTGAATAAAAACCCTGGCAGTCTCCGAGAAGGCCTGTAACGCATTTTTGTGACTCGGAAGATCTCTGGAGGTCTTACCGTATTTGCAGGGACCAGCGAGTTCTAGCAGCTTCGCTTTCATTCTGCGATTCACATTAAATCTTCCTACATCTTTCCAAACCTCAATATTTATTCCCCAAGTGGCAAATATCATTGGAAAATTTACACAACTACATCTAGGATATGCAAACTGTCTAGACTAAACCACAAAAACGACACAACGTTGTAACATATACGGAACTAAAATCTGATTTTATTGCAGTTCTATGGAGAACACATCTAGTGCAGTAGAAAAGAAGTCATAATTAAGCTCGGAGAGAGTGATCATCCGTGTTGACAGATATCATAGGTTTTCGTGCACTCTCTAATGTGTTGGTTCAATTCAGCGGAGAAACAATATAGAAAGATAACGGATAAATTTGGTTTACTTCTATGAGACTATGTCCATGGAAACTCACCAACAACTTTATTGAGAATAAACCCAATGCTTCACATGAAGCTTTCAACAACTCTTCAAAATTGTAAAATCAAATTCAGTTTTAAAATTTATACTAGAACTAATTATTGTTATGCAACACCGCAGTAAGACTTGAAGTTTGTTTCCTCTACTCATGTCTTGAGGTCTAAACTTTTTGGATTCATATAAGAAGATAAGAAGAATCTTCTTTCATAAGAAGAATCTGATGAATAATAAACCATAAGCTAGTTTAAAGATTAAATAAAACTATCATGTAATCAAACTAGCAAGCATATGCCAAAATCATACAATCTTAATATAATCTTACGCAAAATCTCTACATTAGCACTACTATCAAAAATACTAGAAAAGAATAATTGTAATCAATGCATAAGCAAAATTGTTTTTATTGTCAATTATGACTAGCTCAAATATGATATCAAAGATTGCTTGCTAGTAAATGATAAATGATGTGGATGAATTACATCTCGCTATCAATTATCTAATTTACAACAATATCTAAAACATTTTAACTATTACAATAGAAATTTACAAAATGATGTTTCAATTTCATGGTGATGATGATATCATTCAATCAATTATAGTTTTTTGATACTCTTGCTGTCGCTATAGATTTAATATTTTTTATTCTTGAAATAATGAATGTGTGCAAAATATAATTTCAATAAATTATTTACTTCTATATGTTAAACTAGATTTAATTGTAAATTATATCTTTTTCCAATTTTTATTCATGAATAATATTTTACCAATAAAATAATAATCAATCTGATCAAATAATAGGATTATATTTTCTAATAAATCATAAATCAAGATACTAAAATGTAAACAATGTCTTGATATGCTTGAAAATCCACTTCAATTTTTTTTTTAATTTAAAAATTTGAACAATTTTTTTACATGCTGATATTGCTGAAAATTTAAACAATATCAAATCTAATGCAAATTATGAAATATATGAGGATATTTATTATTTTTAAAATCAATATATAAAATGATTGTATAAATTGAACAATAGGCTTTTGAAAATATAATAAAATTTCTAGATCATTGAGATTTTGATCAATTATGCGTAATTTAATCATATTTTGTTTGATAAATTAGCTAAAATGAAAATAGAAAAAGTTTGTAGTAGCTTTTCAAAACAAAAATTAAATTTTTTTTCAATAAAAACTCTTTTTTTTGTAAACGCAATTTTTCTGACCAAAGATTGAAGTTTCAAAATATACTTATACTAAAGTACAAGATATACTAAATTGACAATAAATCTATGTTGAAGCAAAAGTAACTGAAAATTTAATTGCATGAATCTCGTTTGAGTATCATATAGCAAACGAAATAAAATTTAAGCCTTCATCATGTTAGAATATTTTCGCAAAGAAATTGCAAATCATCATTGCCAGTTGAAAAAAATGTGATTCATATTATGAGTATATACTCACAAATAAAAAAACTTAAGTGAAAAAAATTAATTGATGTTATTAAGAGCTTCTGTCTACTATTTTATGTAATTAAAAACTAAAAATTTTAATTAATCAGATCAAGCTAATTATAATCAATCACTACTTGAATTAATTCCCAACATTTTTCACCTAGTTTTCTAATTAAAATTTTATAACATCAATAATCAATATGATAAATTTGCAAATTATGAAATTTGAAATATTTTTTAAAACTAGATTAACCTAGAAAAAAATTCTAAATAAAATATAATAGTATAAAGTCATATATATTGATAAAAAACTTATTCATAAATTTAATTTGTGATAATCATGTGAACTTTGCAAAATAACACAATTTCAGTTTAAATTCTTCAAAGAATAATTTTGATTTATACATAAGCTAGATGAAATTTATTATTAACTATGATTAACTCAACATTCTTATCTGAAATTGCACATTTCATAAATTGATATCTGATATTCATATGTTTTATCTTAGTTTTTATTCATTAATATTGCAAAAGGCAATACAATTTAATTATTTGGATAAAGATCGACAATATTTTGTTTTCATCAACCTTACAATGAACAAATTCAACTTTTCTCTACTTCTGCTTTGTCTTCCGTTGTTAATTAAATTATGCAATTCTACAAAGTAGATCTCTAACACATACTTATATAGTATTAGTTTTTATTCTTTTCCAGGTTTTTTTTTTCGTTAGCATCAACGTAGATCATATCAAATGAGCATATTTTAATCAACCATAAATCAAAATATCATTATTTATATTAGTTTTAGATTTTGAAAATTCATTGCATATATTTTAAATCACCTCTTAAAATTTAAAATAAACATACTCATATTGTCCATATTTAGTACATTATTTTTATTGCTTATCATCAAATACATTGTGTTTTTCACCAACTCGTTATAAATAATTAATAAAAATTTTAATTTTTAAAATCATGAGTTGATCATCAATAAAAAATATTAGTAAGCAAAAATTCGGTTAATTGAATCGAATGAGATGCACAATTATATGTTTGAATCTATATTATTGTATACTCTATTGTCTTTGATAACGAAGTAACACACTCAAAGTGATGAATGAATTTCTCAATTTCATGAACATCATAGATATACACACAAAATTCTAAGTAATTTAACTGTTTTGTTTTCTATTTATGCATTTCCGTTCTCAGTCTTGCAAAAACATATCTTTGAGTTAAAATATTAAATGTAATTAAGATTCAAAAATATTATGAACTTTTAAAATGTCTTAAAAATTCAAGACAGAACAAAATTACACTGACAAAGTTATGAAATTTTATTGTTTAATGAATCTAGATTTGGGATTTTTAGATTTCACTCTTAAGGTGAAAATATCTTTGAATTTAAGTATCAAGTGAAACTTGGATTTTAAGAAAATGTGGAGTTAAGAATACACATTAGACTTGAAAAATTCAAATACAACAAATTTACATGCATGAAATCATGAAAGATTTAAATTTTGCATTTCTAGATTTATGGAATTAGTTCCTAAACATGCGCAATCAATATCTTTGACGCAAAGTTTCTAATAGTTTTAAGTTTTTAAAAAACATAGAGTTTTAAAAGTCACAATAGTTCTAAAAATTTCAGACACAACGAAATTAAATACAAAAACTTCTGGATGTTTTGAATTCTACGTTTTAGTATTTATGGATTTCAAATTTCATTCTTACGGAATTATATCTTTGAAATGAAATATTGATTGAAATTAAGATTTCAAAAAATTATAGAATTTAAGAAGATACATCAAGATTGAAAGTTTCAAGCATAATAGAATTTTAGACACAAAATCGCGAGAGATTTGAGTTGTGTGTTTTAGAATTTAGAGATTGCAAAAACATAATTTTGAGCTGATCCGTGAAGTGAAATTAAAATTTTGAATTAACTAGGAGTTTAGAAAGTTCATTAGCTTTGAAAAATAAATCACAATAGAGTTATACACATATAATTATGAGAGATTCAAATTGTGAGTTTTTGGACTTAAAACTTCTATATTTTACTTTTGTGGAGACCTGTTTTTGAAAGGAATTGTCAAATAAAAACAAAATTTTGAAACAACAAGGAGTTTGAATTTTATTTTTTCTTGAAAAATTTAGTTAAAAAAAAAATTCACACACAAGGTTGTGAAAGATTTGAATTTTGCTATTCTAGAGATAAAACTTTAAAATCTCAATCTTGAATATCTTCATTTTTTATATGGACTGTCTATTGAAGTTAAAATTTTGAGTCAAAGTGAAGTTTGAAAGGTTGCACTAGGTCTAAAAATTTCAGACAGTATGAATGCAGAAGATTGTGAGAAATTTGAATTTTGCATTTCTAGATTTAAAAATTGCATATTTTAATCTAGTGGTGGACTATCTTTAAGGTGAAATGTCAAATGAAATTGAGATTTTAAGACAATGAGTAGTTTAAGGAAGCACATTAGCCCCTAAAAATTTTGTTGCACAAAAAAGTACACACACAAAATTTCAAGCAGTATGAGTTTAAACACACAATTTTGTGAAAGATTTGAGATTTTTTGATGTATGTGTTTCAGATCTTATTTATAGCAAGATTTATCTTTGAGTTGAAATGTGAAAATGAACCTTAAGTCTAAAATATTTACAATTAAAAAAATTACATATATAAATTTGTGAATAATTTGGATTTTGTATTTTTGATTTAGATATATGAAACACAAATGTTAGTAGTCTATATTGTGACAAATGATTTGATTTTGAATGCAAGCAAGGGCAAAAATAACAATAATATACTTGATCCAAAGTTGGTTTATTACGACAAGTTTTAACAAATAGTTGATGAAATCTAAGAAACAAACTTTTTTGCGACACAACAAAAAATCCTTGAAAAGGAAGCTGCAATAAAACCTCAAATCATTTTGGATACGATTAATGATATGATCTTTAAAATCTATGCTTGATATCAAGTCTTTGAAGACTTTTGACTAAAAGCTCTATTTCTTCCTCGACGTTATATACATTCCATGTTGTGAAATAATTTATTGCTTAATCTCTAAAGCAAAAATGATGATTCAATTCAAAAGATTAGAAAATGGTAGATGTGAGGATTTGGATGTTTCTTTGAATTAAATTTTTCAAATGAAAAATTTAGTATATATTTATATTGTATCATTCCTCATCAAATTATTGGATTATGTTTTATCCATGATTTTTTTCAACCTGAATCCAAAAAAAGTTTGTTCATGTTCACAAATCATGATGCAAGTAGTTGGTGACTAATCATTGCACTATCATGGTGAATAATGTTTCCAAGTTGTTTTGAAAAAATGATGAAATTAAGGTTGAGCACATGCAAAAAATCTTTTTAAACAAAAGCACAAGTCCAAGTTGATTTTTGTCCAATATATAACATTCTTGATCATATATTAATCTTGAGTATGCTATGGAAAAAATCTAAGAACAATAGAAAAGTTTTGTTTTGCGACTTCATGGATTTCAAAAAGCTTTGACAAGATTTAAGCTTTTATAGTACATACTCAAGTCATTGTAGTACCATCATATCTCTAGCAATTTTTACCACACCATATAATTTTGTCCGGAACAAGATCGATAATTTTCAAACTCAAGAAATTCTTAAACATCATGTGAATCATTCAAGATTGTAATCTTTTTCCTACTCTATTGGAATTTTTCATAGATGATGTGAAAAATTGATTGGAGAAATTTGATAGTGAAGATGTCACGCTTGAAAAATTTGTCATCAAAGCTTTTTGTAGATGATATTATATCATTAGCATTATTTTACAAAAACACCTGAACATTTTGTCAAGGTTTTATATACAAGGTTAGTATGGAGAAATCTCAAGTCATTATAGTGTACAATTGATCCAAAATCTTGTTCTTTTATAAAGATCTACAATAAAAACAAATGAAGAGTTATTAATATCTAGACATGGATTACTTTAATTATTATAGTGGAACATTTTGCTTGCAAAAGAGTGTAGAAACTAGTTACATTGGGTGTAGTATGGAGCAAGCATGACGGTGATATTTCCTGCACAAAATTCATTACGTTGCAAGGATTAATTATCTCTAGAGGCAGAATGCACATGGATCAAACGTTTAACCGATGTTCGTGATGGTCTTGTAAAAGCAGGGGACAAAATCCTTCAACGTATACCGTAGTTGGTCATCTTTGATTCTCAATCTCCAATCGTCCGCAAGTGATTAGAATCCCTCTGCTCTGTCATAATGAACTTTTCCTTTACTAACCCGTGCACAATGCAGCACAGTTGAAAGTTCCTCCAGAAGGGTATGTTAGGTACTGGCATCGTCATCCTCGACTCCATCCGGAAACAATGTAAGGACTTAACATGCTTTGCCCCTTCTTCGTCAACGATCGCATCTGCCCATATATCTAGGCGAACTAGAGGAGCCCACAGATCTGTCACTGCCATCAACAGCACCTGCGATGTGTGCAAATCCTGAGGTAGTTCACGACAGCTAGAAGATCTTCCAACTTCTAGGTTCCTCGTATCATACCTGCCTCCTGGTTCCAACTGGTTTCTATTTTGCACAGGCTTTCCGTCCAGTTTAAGTGCTCAAAATCAAAGGTTGCACAAGTACCTCCAGTTCTCAAAATGACCAGTTACCGAAGCCAGGACAACTCCTAGATAAATATTTTCGGAATGTTGTAAGGGAAGTCCCAAGGACTCTGCAAAATGCAGCCGAGCCTCTCGCTAGCCGTCCGCAGCCAAAACCTTCAACCCTTCGCCTTGAAGAAAATCTCACATTCACCAGAACATACAGGGGCCGGAGTTATCCACGGGGGAAATCTCCGCACAATCACTTGATTCACCACCTCTAATTTTTCGATAATCCCCTGTCGAATTGCATGAGTTAAACTATCTTGTCTGGAAGAACTCGGCATCCATATACACTATTCGATGCTTGTGATTTAAAGAGCGTAGTCTGTCATAAATTTGAAGAGATTATTAAAAAATCTATGAAAGACAGAAAACAATGAGAAGATCCGGAATTTTCACCAACCGTGACGTGTGTAAAACTTGGTACGACAAAATTAAGCATACTGATGCAGTTCTCGTTTACTCCTGTGACAAACAACCATGCATGTGTGATTATTTGCACCACCATAGAAGCGGTAGGGGATTTGAGAATGACATCTGACACAACAACCATCTGATTTCCGCAATGGCAGCCGCAATCAAACCGATCTCCTTTACACATTTAGGCGATGGTGTCTTGCAACTGTCCCATCTACAGTAAAACCACAAACCATCAAACTAAACCCTTCGTGATTTCGTAATCTTCGACCAAAGTCCATGCGGTAAGACGATTTTAAGGATCATAAGAAAATTACGCATAATACAAAATCCAAACGGAAACACACTTCAACATCTTCCTCTCAAAGATTGATCTTGAACATGCAGAATAAAATTATGTGCACAATTCAGAGCAATTTCCACCTTGTCTTGGTAGGTAGGAGTTCATCACCGGCGATCACTAGTTCCATGGTTGGATGGTGCTAATTGCTTGCTGACAGAACAACCATGGTTCCAAGGTCTTGGGGGAACAATCCAGATCTCTGTGCATCAGATATTTCGCCAGGCTTGGATCTTGCGTTCACTCCTTTGTTGAGAGTTGGAAACGTTTGCGTTGAGTGTTGAGACGAATCAAGAAAAGAACAAATTGATTATACAGTATCGAATTGACAGCTTCATCTCGGTCGATGAAAAAGAGTGGCTGTATAAGCAAAAGACAGCAAATTGATCTGAGCTGTGTGGCAATCATACAGATTAAGTGTTATTGTAAACATCCTGTATGAACGACTGAAGAAACCGTCATGATCATGGATTGACTCAAAGATCACTCACCTGCTCCAGATGATTATTTCTCCATAGCGAAGCTTTCAGATGGAGTAGGACGTTGTCTACCTGATCAAACACCAAGAAATGTAAAGCAAAAAGATTGGAGACCCATCAAGTGAGTAACATGGGGCTCGCCCGAATAAAATACCAATGGTAAATATTCACCAGAATTCCAACTATATGGGACAAACGGTTACTACAATAGTAGCAACTAAAGAATCATCATACCAAGTAATTGATTTTCTCTGTGTTGCAACGACTAGTGTTCTCTTCACATCAATTTGTAGACATTGACAACATAGTCCATATTATAACCTAGAGAAATATAACCATTTGACTTGGTATGATAGTCTCTCGATTACCGTGATTTGAAATAACTACGGAGGTAAAGTAGCAAAAAATATAAACTTCTGTATGTATTTATGTGAGTGAGGCTCCATCCATTCCAAGATCTCTCTAGTAAAATCAATGGGCTACTTATATAACTATTATAATTAGATTTTGTGACCACAAACCCTTCCATCTTAAATATATACAACTCTACCAAGTATAGGTCTATCATAATCCAAGTACAACATAAGACATATTTCAAACATTCACTCCATGTGAAATAAACAATCACAAACAGCGGGAAATCTTATATCATCAACCATACATCATGTTCTCAACAAGCATTAGCAAATTAACAACAATTCATACGGATTTAAGTTGCATTCAAATCAATATCATGCATCCAAGCAATGGACTGAAAGACAAGTGTTTCATGTGTTTTTGCTTTGAAAGAGAAGAGCCGAGTTTGGACTGACAACGAGGAATGGATGAGTTTAGTTTTATCAGCTGTCTGAGAGAGGGTGGCACCTATGCTCGTAATTGATTTAATGGTTTCTCAATATTATCCTTCGAGATCCGTGCATTGCACGGAATACCCAGAGCTCACGAGGTGTATGTACATGACGGGCCTGTTCTGGCAGTTATTGCTCCAACACAATCCATTCCATTCCACATCGCAATTTTCGCTGGGTGCACCAATTTTCGGGGAACGACATTGAACCTCGAGGCGTCTGAAGTGGAAGAGGTTGCGACTGGCTGGCCTTGTGGGCGAGCTCAGGACATCCGAGGTCGTCGACTCGAGGCTGCCCTTTTGGGACCGTAGTTCGTGAATCGAAGAGCTCGGACAAATGGCAATTGCTATTGCAAACCGATTGGCGCTGCCCACCCCGTTTCCTGTGAAAGATCACCCGAGACATGGAGCAGTGCAGAATGGTTGCAGAGCCAAGGTCTCCCTTGCTTCTCCGGTCGCAGCTGGACTCTTGAGCAGATTTGCTTTGGTGAGTTGGTCGCTGAATTTCCTGCCCATGCGCGCTCTTGCTCGAGTTCTCCAGTTTCATATTCTGCTTCCCCTTGACTTTTAGATGAGCATTGCTTCCCCGAATGTTGTCTGAAGAAGTGCAAGAGTAGTGAGCTCTTGAGCTCGAGCTTGAGCATGTGGCCGAATGTGCATGCAGAAACAATGCTCACCGGTTCGAAAAAGGACTCTTCTCCCAGTGAGGGCCACGGTTGCGGAAGACACCGTCGTTCCGAGCAAATTTGAATTTCCGTCCGCTCCGATTCTGCTGCCAGATGGACCTTGGAGGGAAGTAAGAATCATATTCCATAGTTTCTAATTGTCAGCTGAACATGACGTGATGGGATAGCGAGAGATTGTGCTTTCATTTTTTTGGAGTGGAATGTGCGATTGAGCTGATGTGTGAAGTTGCTACTCGCGGACATCATCGTCACAATCATCTGAGAACCAGAGTCCTGAGGCTCATACAGTGCATGCATCCACCTGCAGATTCCTGGCGGGGTCACTGCAGCAGCAGGTTTCAAAGCAATAGGAATGTATGCTGGGTTGAGGGCTGTGGGTAAAAAACCCGATCTTGCGTTAGTCATATGTGAGGACGATGCCGTTGCAGCAGGTAAATCCCTGTCATTCCAGGTCCCTTCCCCTACCGCTCATGTGGAAGCCGAATTGCAGGGTTTAGCGTAGTTGGTAGTTGGCAGGTGAATAGATTCATGTATGTTGCCTGGAACTGGGACTTGACAGTCTTATACCAGGATGATTTCCCTAGTCCGTGACTAGTTTGTGCATTTTGTGAAGAATTGGATGACGTTCTAACCGTGAACGTAAGTTTCAAACAAAATTAGTTATCTCAATTTCACTTTGTTTCTTGCCCCTTTTGTTTGGATCTCAAATACTCCTGTCGAGGACTGTGAGTAAAGTATTCCCATGTGCAGGTACATTCACGAAAAATTTGATGGCTGCAGCACCTGTTATTTACTGCAAAGAAGTCCTTGCTAAGTCACCCACGGTTGGTGTACCTTCTTGACCTTAGCATCGCATTTTCTGTACTAGGTCAGCCAATACTTGTCCCTCTCACTGATACTTCAAACTATAATCACGGAACAACGCATTTGCAGATACTTGACTATGAAAAATGTACTCCATGCAGGCCCGAGGTGTGCTGATCAACGCAGGTCAGGCTAACGCAGCAACTGTACGTGAACTCCTGCCTATCCATCAGTGAACTTTTCCGTTCTTCGTAATATTATATGTCTTAACAGTTTATATTTTGTCAGATTCACTTGATTGGGAGTTTGTCATGGTTGGTTTCCATAATGTGTGTGCTGTGATTCATGATCTTATGAAGGGTGGAAGACTAACCTGGAGGTGACAATTACCCAGAAGCTTATGCATTCACTTCAGGTCCAACACCCAGCAGAAGATATGAACAGCAAGTGGTTTTGGAACTTAGTACGTGTGATACAAATGTTGTTAGGGTGATGCAGGTTATCAAGATACCCTGGATTGTGCCGAGGCCGTAGCGAAGGTAAAGAATCTTGCTTTGTCATCAAAATCAGCTTTTCAACCTCGTTCAGCTGGTGGCATGAAGATTAGATAACGAGTTTTTGAGCCTCCAATCGAAGCCCAAAGTGTTGCGTTTCGAGCAAAATCTTTTGCGGCCAACAAACTCTACCGAGTAAAGGGTTTCTTGGGTTTACGCGTGGAAGCTCCGAACGAAGCTTGTTTCTGGGCAGAAATCGTTCAATAAGAGAGACGTTCTTCACTCTCAAATTGCCCTCCTTCATCTCATCTTCATCCTTATTTCTGCCACTTTCTTGCTACTAGCACCGCTTAGCCACAGGGTCTGTGGTCTGTATATGCACATCTATGTGTATATACTCATGAGTTCAACTTTAAGGCCCTCAAAGTACTAGTAAGGTTGCTGTGTCATGTGTGCAGTTGTTAGGAATTGACACCGGAGCCGTTCTTATCGAATCAACTGGAGTTATAGGTCAGCGAATCAAAAAGGTAACTACTGAATGTTTTATGCGATTATAAACGTATAATTTCATATGAAAATGTGAGTTCCCAGCATAAAAAGACTTGGGTTTAGTTAGTATCAACCACGTGCGTTGGTGGACACTGTATGCTTCGGTTGTTAATTTTTTTCCCACAATTGTTTTAAACAGTCTTGTATTCTAAAATTAATGCATTCTGAGACTATAGAACTATGTTTTTTCTTGAGAAAAACTTCTCGAAATTGGCCTGTTTTACTGCTTGTATTTCTGCAGTCTAAATATGTGGTCCGAAAGGAATATGAAGTGAGACTCTGTTGTCATTTCAGGAAGCATTGCTTGAATCTCTTCCCAAACTTGTTTCGTCATTATCAACTAGCGCGGAAGCGTAAGTGCAGCTTCATAGCTTCATTTACTGTATAAACATGAAGGGAACACAGATTAGGGTTGCTGTCGTGGCTGTATCTTATTACAAGGCTTGATTAGTCTCTCGGTTTGGTAGCAAATGTATAGGTTAGGGTGAAGCATCCAGCTTCGTCTGTTACGCTTACACGAATCATTTAAGCTTCTTCCATTCTCGTGTAGTTTCTATTTTTTCGCTTTATGATAACTAAGTAGTCGAGATACGCAATATTATAAAAACCAGCCCCGTGGTTATCTCTTTGCCCATCATGAAAGAATAATGAACTGGTTGAGAAGGCTGATGCTTCAAACTTTTTTGGATGTGCAGGGCCGATGCAGCTGCAGTAGCAATAACAACAACTGATCTTGTCAGCAAAAGCGTTGCCATTGAGACGATGGTACGGTCACGGCTTAACTAGGAAAACAACGCAAAAGTCGCCTATGTGCTCTATGGCCGTCTCTGGTCTATTATCCTCTCTCTAAATCCTCTGTTATCAGTTGTTTCCATGAATGCCATTTACTAAAGCTGGTATTAGCTGTAAAACCATGGGTTATGTAGTTCACACGTATAACTATGGCTTTCTGGTAGATTGGAGGAACATCTGTGAAGCTCGGAGGGATTGCGAAGGGTTCAGGCATGATACATCCTAATATGGCGACCATGCTCGGAGTAAGTAGAGTACTTTCCACGTTCAGTTACGGATGTTAGGGGGTCAGTATTTGAAGTGTTGTTGTTAGGTTTTTTGCCCATCAATATATACTTTGTCATATTCCTGCTGTGTTTTCGATTGGAACTGCTAAGCTGGAGAGGATGTTTTATGAGCAGGTTGTTACAACAGATGCTAATGTCGCAGTTGACGTCTGGCGATCCATGGTGCTGACTGCTGTGAATCGCAGTTTTAATCAAATCACTGTAAGTCGATGCATGTCTTTAGGCTTGGAATGGGTGTGATATCGAAGTAAATGATATTCTTTGCTGAGAACTGAAGTGATATCCTTGAGAGGGTAACGGAGATGATCCAGTTATCTTCGTATGACTCCGTGTAAGTCATCAAACTTTTGGTCAAAATCAATTTGGCTGAGAATGGAGCGTGTTGTCAGGTTGATGGTGATACTAGTACCAACGATACTCTTCTCGGCTTAGCTAGTGGCAGAGCTGGTGGCCCGCTAATTGACTCTCTTGACTCAAATGAGGCTCAACAGCTTCAAAGTGCCCTTGACGCGGTTAGTTCTGCTATCTTACTTGAATGGATCCACTTGTAACTTTCTTCGTTGTGCCTTGTTCATGTTGCTTTCGATTCGTCCTCATGTCAAACAAATTGCTGTTCCAGCCGTCTGCCTATTTATTCGTTGTCCAATTATCTTCGATAGTTGACACACTGTTGGTCTTCAACCTGTCGTTTTGATCGTGTGACTTGTTGTGTAGGTTCTTCAAGGACTGGCCAAGTCTATAGCGTGGGATGGAGAAGGTGCCACTTGTCTGATTGAGGTAAGTGGAATTTTTAGCCTTGTTGAGAGCTAGCGATTCTTTACACGGCTTCCTCTTGTTTAGGTTTCCGCACTTGAAGTAATAAATTTATTTCTCTAAAACTTAGATTCATTCTTGAATTGCGGAAGTCTAGAAGTACAACGTGCATACTCATGGAGTATACATGCTTTCGAATTCTCTTCCAAATACGTTCGTACAATGTCTTCAATGGTGAGATGCGTGTACTTCAAGCGTTCTGCATGTTTTCGTGCGTACTCCAGCTATTACATTTTGGACGTGTGTAATGTCAGGTTAAGGTGACAGGTGCAGATACTGAAGCCGCTGCAGCAGCTGTTGCAAAATCAGTAGCTGCGTCTTCTCTAACTAAAGTAACTGCAATTAACTTTTTGTGTTTGATTTCGAGAGCACGTCTAGATACTTGCTGTCCAGTATGTCTGTAAAGTTCAGCTCGAAACTTTCCATAGTCTTCAGATAGCTTGCTGCATGCAAGCTATCTAAAGCTATCAACTTCGAGGAGTGTCTTTTTGTAACATGAAAGTGAGTGACCAGGATTTAGCATCAAGCTCCTGAAGAAACTGCTTTGAATCAACGGGAAACATTTCTGAAGAGGAGACGACAGAGGGCAGCTTCTTGTGTTTGGCTGTGCAGGTTTTGTTTACGTTGGATGGTTACTAATTTGCGTTTATTTGGATTTCAGGCTGCAGTGTACGGGAGAGATCCAAACTGGGGCCGGATAGCGTGTGCTGCTGGCTACTCTGGAGTCAACTTTGATCCTCAAGACCTTCGAATCCACCTCGGCGATGCCCTGCTCATGGAAGCTGGACAACCGATGCCCTTTGACCGGTAATGTAACCTATATCCGCTCGCAGGCACCCTCGTTTGCAACGCCATTAGCTCCTTTGGGCTTCTTGAAGTAAATGGAAGTTTCGGAAGCTCTGAGACTTCGTTCTCAGAGCTTCGGAGAGAGCGGATCGTAGACTTCATTTAACATTGTAGACGGGATACAATTGCAAATACTGTATGAATTGATCAGATGGGTTTTCGGGATGCAGGGCTGCTGCAAGTGCCTACATGAAACATGCTGGAGATATCCACGGAACCGTACAAATAAATATCTCCGTCGGTAAGTCTTCGCATCTTTACTCAGCCTACTCAATATTCAGAATGACTACTGTCTCGAGATGATCAAGTAATCAATGTGACGCGCCAGATGCGCTTTATTGAGTTCCATGGTACTTGTCATCGAGTTTCTTGACTGGACTAGCCAGGGAGATGAATTAACACTCTTGAAGGAGACGCGGCTGGAAGTTTTAATGGATCGTAACCAGCTGGAAATGTCTCTTACAGGTAGCGGTCCCGGTGAAAGCTTCGCATGGGGATGTGATTTGAGTTATGACTATGTCAAAATTAATGCTGAGTACACCACCTGAGTAGAGACACTTCACACGCGAAGAATTGTGAAGACAATTTTGAAGCCTGAAGGGAACCATGTACTGTGACATGTCGACCAAAAGTCTGTCGAGTGGTTCAACATCTTCGGAACCAGAATATACCGAAGTTTTGAGTAGCTAGAGTCCGCTCCAGCCGGTAAATTATTTACAGACGTGTCTGGTTTTACGGAAGACACTTGAGTCTAAACGTAGCTGGGTAGGTGAAGTGTATCATTGTACCAATCCAACATAATGCAGAAAAATCTAATTTTCAGAACCTTTGAATCACTCAGGACAGAGGATATTTTGGGTCCAGTATGTAATACATTGTATTTGCGTTTTCAAACTTGATTGTGGTGATGAGATCATCACTGGAAAACGGATCATCTACAAGAATGCGAAGGAGAGGTCAACAAAAGTTAGATTTAATCAGGCCGAGAACAACTGCATAGAGCAAGGCTCTCCTTGTAGTTAACCATTATGAATTTTAAACCTCCAGTCACTTGCACGGATGTCATGACTATGGCCCATAGTCATGACATCCAATCATAGTCATATTGGGGTACTATGGACTATGGCCAACAGTCATATTGGGGGATTACTTTGGATATCACCCATAGTCTATGGGTGATATCCAAAGTAGTCCCCCAATAGGAGGAGCTAGACATGAGCCAATGTCAGGCAACTGAGATGTCTTCTGCGCTCAACGAACCATCCGCAGTAAAAAAATGCGAAAGAACTGAGTTGTGGAATGTACTTTATGCAAAACAATACTATACAATACCAATGATAACCTTTAATCATAGTATAACAGTTTTCCAAGTGGAATGAGCTAGTGGCAAGTCAAGTGAGTCTCTACCTTATGCATTCTTAGGCTATATGTGCTAGTGATTTGCATTGGTTTGATTTTATTTGATTTTATGTATTACTAGATACGTTTATTCATCATTTTATCAAAAATTTGGAAGAATTTCGCACTATTTAGATCAAGCACAGATTGATCATCTTGGCAAAATTATTATAATCAAGCATTTAAGTGAGGACAATCAAATTTCAACTTGAAGAAAAATTGAATAAAAAAATTTCAAAAATTTCAAAATTTATCAAGTTACATAGTTTCCAAGAATTTTACACAATTTGGATCAAGCATTGATAGATCATCTTGACACTTGGAAATATCAGCAAATGTATGATACTCAAACATGAAGTATTGACTTTCAAATTTTAACTTGTAGATAAATCGATTAAATATTTATGAAATTTACAAACTTTATTAAGTTACATAAAATCCAAATGTACTTGAAATCTTTTGATTGATACCAAATTTTTCTTATCACATTAAATTATTGACACATATTATGTGTCAATAATAAGTCTTGAGAATGTATTTTGTCAAATTTTATCTGCAAGTGTCTTCTTGTCTAGGTCAATGAAGAAATCTGCATGGCAATTATATAGTGATCACACGTTGTATTGAATAGCAATCTTTCAATGTACTAAAAAATAGTCATAAACATGATATGATTACGACGGATAGATCGATCTTTTATGACCTGAAACATGTGAAGTTTTTAGCATATCAAATATACAATTAACATAATTTCAATTTGGATTTGATGTTTACTATGATATGAAAATCTGATCTCCTGATGAATGGATCTTTTATATGTCAAAGAATTGTTGCATCAATAAAATTTTGTATTTTTTAGATTGAATTATACATTTTCTAACTTTAAAAGAATGATGAAAATCATATATTGCAAGTATTTCTTGTACTTGCAAACTTTTGAATCAATGTCTGCAATTGCAAAAACTTTAACATGAAACCAAGAAAAACTGACTGAGATTATCATGTGACGGTTTTTTATATCAAAGAAAATAACCACTTTTTTTATTGGAGTTGGGGTGTATTAAAATATTTTAGGTTTAGGATAATCTTTACCCAACATTATAGTGAGTAGAAAGAGTTTGTAGTAGATAATGCATTTTATTCCAACAATGCAACAAATATATAACGTTGGACTTTGGTACATTATGGATGATTTACTTCCAGAAAGGACTTTATTCTCATCATCGATGATAATCAAACATGAAGATGTTAACAGAAATAGACAAACTTATAAGAAAGTTTTCAAGATGGATTCTTACTACAGTGTTGTAAATATGTATTTCGTGATGCGATCCATACATACAACATAAAGTTTAGTACATCCATACCATACAGTTTATGAGTGATGACGGTGTGAGTTAAAGTCCAAGTAAGTTCATGTTGAGGAAATTAGTGTTCAATAGAGGAGTGGGTAGTGTGGGTTTAAATTAGAAGGATTGTCTTTCTTTCATCGTATATGATGAGATCTATGGATGTTTGTTTGACGAGGTTTAATTCTTCTCTTCTGAGATATTTAGACCAATCAGAAGATGACATTTTGCGTGCATCTTCATCTTCCCGCAAAATCCTTCCCCACAAATTCGAGGCTGGTCTTTCTTCGTCGACTTGGATGCACGGGCATTACATCGGGATATACTAGCTCAGTTAAAATGTGAGGTGATACAATCTTATCAAACCCTTGATCAGCCCATTCTTGTTGGACAGTCTGTCTTGTCCTAAGTCTGTCGTATCGCAAATTTCTCAATTAGAACTGTAAGATGTTGCTACTTAACGGGGACAAATTGTGTGAACAGAGGTGAGCATGGTAGAAAACTATCATCGTCCTCACGATTCTGAGAAGAATCCAGGGGACATCAACGGGTGAAACGCAGCTCTCAATGGATTGAGACTAGAGAAATCTGAAAACGTGATTAGTAAAATTCACTGGAAGTTGCGAAATGTGACGCGCATCACATTTCGCAACTTCCAGTGACGCGCATCACAGTAATGGTGTGATCTTGAAGACGCAGCTCACACTTCTAGCATTCAGAGATCTGTTGGTGAGCGAAAGTTACTATGAACAAAAACAATCTGTTCCCGAAAAGACAGTCCACATTAAGTTTAGCCTTTCGCGTCTACCTTCTTCTTAGACAGTCTTAGATCTGGCGTACGGTATTCATCAACAATAGTCATCCAAAAGTCATGTGCCAAAAAATTTCGTAATCCTTCCTTCAGTTTTAGTGGTCCAAGAACATAATGGAATTGTTGAATGGGAATGGAACCAATCGTGATCAGATCTTGAATGTAACATGGTACAGTTGTACCACACGAGGAACAAGAGGACACTCCAGCCCAGTTCTATACAGAGAGGTCGCTATATAAAAATTGGAACTCTTGACTTCAATCTCAGGCATTGTGTCAGCTTGAGACAAGCCGTATCAGGGGTTGGACGTCTATCTCTTGAATAAAATGGTCGCGTAACTTGATATTGAACAGGTCTCTCCTCTGCAAAGTGGTAACTCTAATTCGTATCTACAATTCTTTTCCAAGCTGCAGTGAGATGTGGCATCTAATTCTACCTCGATGTACAAACTATTCACACCAGTGAAGCTCTCTGGAACTGGTTTTGAATGGATGGACCAAAGCACTCAGCTCGAATCAGCATGAAATACGTCGTGAAGCCCGTTGAAGATGGTTGCCTGGTTGTCCGCAAGAGGTAACATGCGTTGCACCGAACTTTACACCCATGAACAAGTACGCCCCAATAATCTTGATCCGCGGCATCCTGATCTCCCCTTGCAGCTTTGAATCCACAAGTTCCCCCAGACTTCTCAATTAGACAACACTCCGAAGGATTATTTCTGTCCAGCCGTTGCACCAAAATTATGCCATCTGGTGCTGCTTCCAGTACACAGTTCCGAACGGAACCCCATGACTCTGGCTTGTCAAAAAACTCATTCGACAACCGATGTCTTTCAGGTTTTCCTCCTTGATTAGTGTTGTAAACATACTGCAAAAATGGAGCATCTTGAAGATTTTCCACAATCTGCATGATCATTAAGGGAGGAATTAGTTTCCAAGATTCAGAAAATACACAGTAAACAGAGAGGAGTCGAACACCAAGAAGAGAGTGAACTACTGAAAGTACATTCCTACCTCTCTCACAGTCGTATAGTTGAGCTCTATCTCCTCTTCTTCGCCGCTGTTTTCGTCTTGGGAACTGCAGGAATGATCCAATGCCACACCATCCGTACTGACCAGCGCGCTTAAGATACTATGCGACTCCTGTAGGGCGGAAGTTTGAACTTTTCTTTGACATGATCTTCTTATTTGTCTGTCCCTATCCTCGAGAAATAAGCCTCTGCGCGCAGGTTGCCATTTGACCTCCTTGGCAAGACCTGTTATGAGCGGACGTCCAGGTTAGATGACCATCGCTAGTAGTCCGCTAAAGTAGCAACCACTCAGGAAAAGACGAAAAAAATCCGCTGCACGGACACAATAACACCCACCTTTGATTCGACAACCCCACGAGTGAGCATCCACACTCCCGAAGGAAGCTGAATTCCTGCAAAACGGAAGGTGCAACATCAGTAACCATTGGAGATCACACGGCGGTACCGCACATTGTACATCGAAGATCATGCACACCCATTGAAGACATATGTGATAAGTCTTATAATCTACACAAACAGAAATGCGAAGATCATCGAAATTCCGACCGATTGCCCACGTCATTTCGAAGCAGACATCAGTCAAAAAAACTCATAAGTATTTCATCACTAATTGCTTTCTTCCTCGACTCAAATTGATGTGTGAACAACTAGTCAAGCTCATTCGGCAGCAGCAAAAATTCCACATTTTAAGTGCTCTCGAAGTTGAAAGCCGTAAACGAAGGGACAGCAAACGCAGAAGGAGGCCATCAGACTTCGGCTTTGGACGGATGAACCACTGAAGCTTATCCAACTCTATCGGCTTTCCAAGGGACACCTCGAAACAATCACGGGACAAATGGAATTCTTCAGGTACAAATAAGGTGATGCAAGACTTGCAACAGATGGGTGGGTTGGACTTCCATCCTACCTTGTCCCGGAGCAAGAAGGACTCTCGTAGCAATCCCTCGATAAAAGGCTTCCATACAACACGTGAGGACTCTGTACACTCATCGCAGCGGCCATATCGCTTCCTGCTTCTCTTCCGAGAACAATCAACTATCCCCGAATCGTCTTTCACCAAGAAATTCTAGATACCGGCAGCACAGAGCTTTCAGGACCGGCAACCATCCGCTATCGAGCCTCCCGAAGGCTTCTAGATTCAAAAAACGCCACAAATCCTTTCATGAAAATCCCGATTTCTTGTCACAAAAAACAGAACCAAACAGCTCCACAGCTCCAAGCCCGCTACACCATCTCCGCGCCTCGCGACTTGGACTATGACCCCGAGAACAATCCCATACCCAACGAAAATCCAACCGAAAATATCCGCAGCAACCGCTGAGCGATCCTCGCTCTTCTAGCACGCTGATCGCTCGGGAAAAACGGGAATAAGAAGGCAGGGGATCAGCGAGCGTCGATCGGCCCTTATTCGGCTTCTTGCTCTTCGCTGCAGCGAGGGCGCACGCAACGAAGAGAGAGAATGCGGAAGGCGCAAGCGAGCGCTCGCTGGCTGAGGCTGCGGGCAAAGAAGGCAAGATGAGGCCCAGACTTGCACGCGGCCGAAGCACTCGATCTCGAGCTTCCACGCTCCCTCGACTTATGGTCCACCGGCAACCGGCGGTCTCGGTTCTCGCTGCGAAGGACTCAGGACCGAAGCCCGCCGCCGCTCTCTCTACCTGTCCAGTGTCCCCGCCTGCATTCCCGCGGGCGGTAATGGCGTCCAATAATTTGTCGGCAGACCTGGTCGTTGTTTCGCGCTTTTCAGCGGGTGTCCGCTCCCTCTCCTATCGAGAGGGTATCTGGAGCTGCATTCCATTTTAATATAGTATATCTGCATTTCTAGCATAGCATTTCCAATCTTCTCAAAGCGCCGACGAGAATGGCGCTACTCAAATAGGTACACTTCTTTCTCATTTTTGTCCTGTCCGTCGTAGTCTCCTCAAACAAACAGCGGTTAAGAACATCCTCATCCGCAATAAAATATTTTAATATTAAAACTCTGTGCTTATATCCTATGTTATATTTGAATCAAGACTATTATTTCTAGTCAGCGAGTAGGAATTTCCCCAGGTGATCCTTGAGTGAAGATACCCGCCGCCTGCTATGGAACGAATGTAGATCAGCGTTTCTAAGCGTGCAATGAGAGAAAGAAATAGTGAATATGGCCAATAGGATGGCAATAACTCATTCCCTATGACCTGAATGAAACCAAGGGTAGGCCAAATAGCATCACAATGTCAAGTATATTATATCCCAACTATGTATATAGGTCTATAAAGGGATTTCTGAAATTATCTTCCCCGTGGGATCGTATAAAGGTTTCATGTGGAGTAGATTAAGTAAGCCTCGCAAGTCACACGTCACGGGAAAAAAAATATCTGCACAAATGACCCGAAAATGTGAAGAAATAAACATCACCCGATCCGTGATAGGGAACGAAAGTACAATACATTAGCTTCTCTCATCGCTCTTGTAGCAGATTTCAGACGCGTACAACGAAAGTCACATGACCGGACCCGTACAAGAACCTTTTGACCATGACAGCACAGGCTGACGTACAGCAGGGCCTGTGCTTTCGACGAAGACAGCCAACTGCCATGTCGGATGGAGCGTGATTGAAAGCATGAGGATCCTAGCTGACGGGCCCTCAGTTTCTAAGCCAGTGGGGATGCCACATCGGACGAGCGTGTGCCCAACTCCTGGCGGCTCCTGTCGGCGTGTGGGATGCTGAACAGCGCCCAGCAGCCGCACGCGCTTGCTGTGCAACTGCCTGTGGACTGTCGACGAGGACGCTGGACTGGGGCGACCGGGTACAGAGAGTTGCCGGTCCCCCAGGCCGCAAGAATGAATGGAGCTCTCATCCAGTCCCTCAACGAGACATGTTTCAAACGAGGCTCCGTCGAGCGTTCATTCTCCGCCGGGACGTGCGTGGCCCATTCGAGATTCGGGTCTCGTGCTCTCACGAGGGCTTCGATTCACCAGACGGAGCCTACGAGTCTAAGCCCCAACCGACCGTCGGTCGCATCAAACTGCAAACCTCGAGTCTCGATTCTCGTCGATGTGATCTACCTCGCCGCGGTCAACGGTGACGAAGCAGAGTCCGTCGATCAGCATGGTCACGAAGAGGTGCGAAGAGGTCGAGAGTGAGCGGCTACTGAAATACGAGAGACTCGAACGGAACTGCGGGGCACGGCCGTCCTGAATCTGTCGCCACGTCACCACGACGGCGACGTGGCCCGAGTGGGCCTTGGGATGAACAAGTGGGACTGGGCGTTCACAAAATGGGCAACCGCTGCTGCTGTACGCATGTACGAGAGAGACGGTGCTTCAACTTGGCCAGTGTCGGTGGCCGTGGCTCCGCGTGTCGCTGGTGGTCACAACAGAAACGCCTCGCGGACGGTTCTCTTCGGTGATCTTCGAAATCTATTGCCAGCTTGAATTTCGTTTCCGCCAGTCTGTGGTTCTCCCCACTCCCTCCTTCAAGTGTTTTGCGCATCATCGCATCATATTTTTATTTTCGTACCTATTCGACTTAATCGGGTGTTCCAAGCCCTTGTATATCCTTGTTTTACTTCATCTCATATCACATGGTCGATACAGGTTAGACCTCGTGAACTGCCCGACAACAACGCAGATAGTTCACATACGAGTGAGAATTATATGACAACCACTGCAGAACATTCCATACCGTTATTGTACGTTCATACTTTGGTGTACCTATTTTCAGATGCGTCCCTTATTCATTAAATTCATATTTGAGAAATTTAATGTAAAGTGATGGGTTCTGTATCCTTAATTTGATCAGTCTCGTGATTTCTCAATCTGTTAAAATGAGATATATCGCATGCAAGGAGTCAATGTAAGAAAAATCAAACCTGATTTTATTTCTTATATATTTTTTCAAATTTTATCATGCACCAATGTATTCATCATGTATTCAGTCATAATCTCCTTGCTAAGTAAGGAGATTAAGGAGTAGTTATAAAGGTTGGAATTTACAGTTTTAAGTCAGATTCAAGTTGTTAATTATTTGATCGAATGCAATTAGTGTTCATATTAGAATGGTTATTCAATATTTTCTCTGGTATATATTTTTAAAATATACATAATATTTTTTATAAAAATAAAAGTAGAAACTTATGATTAGCCTCAAAATATCATGAAAAATGTTTTTCAAAAGCAAAAATTATTCAAAAGTCGTGTTAATCTTGATTGTACTCAAGGATGATTGTTAGAAAAGGAAAATATAATACTTAAAGAGTTGGAAAAAGGCCGGATGTCATTTAATCGACGTATCATGATTGTAAAAAAAGTAAAGTTAACCATTCGTAACCAATGTAAGACAGCAGAGGACAATCAAGCTTCCACTCATAACGATGGATAGTGTCGTAAACGCCTCTACATCCATACATATCATCTTATACAATGATAACCTTTCCGCTCTTCGGGGACCGGGTATAGACGGCGTTGCTTCCTCATGTAGGCCTTCTTGGAAGGTTGAATAGGTTTTGGGAAGAATCTTTGACGACAATCAGTACTCGGTACGCTGACAGATTTTCTGGGATCAATTTTAGAGTACATTTCAAGTTTGTTCAATAAGTCATTACTTTATAACCAGATCCAGGCATATGATACACAAACAGGACCCAACTCCAATAGATTAAAAAGATTTGTATGAACCTGTTTGGACTTTTACAAAATTATTTCCGTAGGCCTCATAGCAGTTGGTAAACCAGAAAGAATGCGGACAATTCTTAAACTCAGTTACTGTCCGTTCCATCCTGCCAACGATAAACAATTGTGTACACATTGAGGGCCTCGTAATAGGACCACGAACTTCACTTAGTCTTCAAGTGGAGTAATGGAGTGAGTAAGGTGAGCGAAGCCAGATGCTTCATCTGAGATTAGAGCACAACTAGGGTTTAGGGCTTGGGGTCCATTGTGTATTCTCTTAGTTCCATTCAGTCTAGGCTTTGAACTCGAAAATCCACCTGTGTGTAAATTAAAGAGACCTACCTAAGTCAACTATTTCTCACCAGTTTTACATTCACATTTTTGTACATCTGCCGCAACTCCTTCATAGCCTTCTCCTCAATTTGAATGCATCGTATAGAAGAAGGGCCCGCTACTTCCGGCTTGAACCACCGATTTGGTGTATCAGTTGAACTAGCTTCCGAACCCGTTCCGCCGGTAGAAGGAACAGATGGTCCAAGCGGGCTACCTAATTGAGGACTGCCACGGACTTGAGGAGTGCGTTGATTTGCCTTCGACTTGACCTGTGAAAAGTCAAGTGCTTACAGTTAGGGAAGCGTTGCGAACCACCAAAACTTGGATGATGGCACAGATAGCATGAAACTGTAGAAACTTGGACGACTGAACAAACAAGATGAAGCCCCAAAGAAGTTATACTAACGTGACTGTGAAGACGCAGGAGGAAGAGGGAAGGATGAGAAGTGAACAAGAAAAACCGTGGTGAAGAGACACACTACATCCTGTAGAACTTGGTTAAGACAGGCAATGGCTTGTACAGTCAGTGTCATTTCCATCTGGGCACAGACAGACAGAACAACTAGCAGGAACTGCAACACATATATTTAGAAGCTTCAGCAACTGCTGCTGGGAGTAAACTTGGTGAAGAGTGAAAAATTCGGCACTGAGACTCTGACCTCAGAGAAGGAATGATAACAAAAATCGACTGCACAGAGACCACAACGATTGATAACAAACCTGCTGCATCTGAATATCCCGCAAAGACAGCGCATTTGTTCCTGGAGTAGCTGCTGCCCATGGAGGTGGACTATTGTCGGGTTGTCCACGTGACGAACTGCGAGGGTTTACAGCAATCGGAGAAGTTCGAACGAACTGTATCAGAGGAACTCGCGTAGAACTGGCCTCCGTTTCTTCTACGACGATTGTAGCAGACTCCGCATGTTTTGGTGTTACGTGAACCTTATCCCCTGCTAAACCTTTACCAGATCCGACTTTCACCGCCTGACCGAAATCATATTTCGGTTCATATTTTTGCTGCGTCTGAATTGTTAGCAAAGAAGCTGATCCTTTGGGGATATTGACTCCACCCCACGCGGGTCCTTCAACCTTCGGCGTGACTGGTGGAGGGGGCAAAGGTTTTGGTGCCTCTAAAGCTCCACTGAGGAAGACTGAAAGACCACCCTTCACAACTTTCTTACCAAGCGCAGTCATTTTTCGAGGCACAGGTGGTGACTTCTCTGGCTGCTCAGTGGGATACTTTAGCACACCAACCTTCACACCTTCTTTTTTTCCAGATGAACAACCTTGGCGTTCTAATTCTGGTCGGGTCAATTCTGGCATGACAGAAGTAAAGCCTGATATGGTTTTGAAGTTGCTCGAAGTGGAGGATGATGAAATCTCAACTTCTGAATTTTCAAATTCACGTGTAGATGTAGCTCCCTGCAACAACCGCAATCTTAAATGAGAACCTTACAGGAACTTACTTTTCTTGCATGCAGAACTTGGAAGTGTCCAACAAAAGACACATGGTGTCCAGAAGACGTGTGTCAACGTGGATACTTGAAGGTCAATCTGCACCTTCCGACCTAGATAGGTCCTGGTTACTTCTTACAGGGAATGATAACTTCTTTGAAATCTCACAGAAACGTGATTTCTCTCATCCATCTACTCTGCCAATACGCGAGGTGCTAAGACTAAGAGAAGAATAGGTGGCAGGGAATCCATAATACCACCTTCATCTCAGAAGGACGGCCTTTCTGTATGTTGTTTTCTAGCTTCTTCGATCGCCAATCATCGCTTGAAGTCTGACTTTTGCTCTTTTTCTTCTCCAGTTTTCGAGAGGGTCTCGTGGAATCAGGCTTACTGCTGGAGCTCTCGCCTATAGATGGATACTTTTCTTTTCCATCCCTCTTACTCCTACTTTCTTGATTGTTACCCTTTTTCAGTGGCTCAGGAATAACTCCAGCTTCCAAAGAAAGTATCGAATCTTCCAAATCCCTCTTAGTACGTAGCTTGGCAAGCTGTTGATCATCCAGTGTATGTCCCCTTGATTGCTTCAACTCAAGTGCCTCGACCTGCTGCAATTTTTTCTTCAAAGCCCGAAGTTGTTTTGTGATAGCTTCCACATTTTCGTCTGCAGCTTGTAAAAAGCCTTCACTCAACATTCGTTCATTAAAAGAACCAAGACTTACTTCCCGCTTTGATCCTCTTGAGTTAGGTTCATTGCCACGATCCTCTTCCTCTTCTTCACTATCAATGATGGCCGGCAAAGTTGCACTTGGGGTGGGCAGCCTCCGATGGCTCCAAGGTTGCGTAGAGCTGGCATCCCAAGCTTTCTCCACTTCAGCCAATAACGATGGTCTCACATGCCCAAACAACACTGGAGCCATGGTGAGGACGTAGTCCAAATTTCGCAAAACCAATTCCTGAAAGATCACACAATTCCAAAGATTTCAATGAAAGTCCTAGTACTATGCCATCACTTAGCAAGATTCCAAGCCGGACGTGAACTTTCAAGTTGTGCCCTTTTTTAATCACGACTCGAAACATGCAACAAGATGGCCGTGCATTCTTTTACCTCGCAATGCCTTCGCAGCAGATCCGCTCCGAGTGAATCGGCAAACTCCAGAAGCTGCAAGGCATTTTTGGGCTCCACCACCTGCTGAGCTATAACTCTTTGACACAAATTCTTTAGACTTGGTGCCGACTTACTCACTGAAGAAAAACCTATAGCGGCTTTTCGAGGGCTTAAGTTCTCCAGATCCTCCCCTTCGCTATCCACATCAATATCTTCTTCTACACTACGAGTAGGCTGGGCAGACGTTAAACTCGTCGTACACACATCTACCGGGTAATCTGGCATGACAAATGCTGCCCCAACCACTGAATGATTTTCACCAACTGACAAGTGCGTAGCGTGCTTGATTCCATGGACACGGTGAGGTACAGGAAGTGATTCTGCTTTGGCATCCTCTCCGTCCCATATATAGACATCCCCTGTTGATGTCACCAACCCGGTTCGATACTTACCTGAGGATAAAGCAACAGACTGGTGTGCTGCCATGGAAGAGAGCTGCACAAAAGGCATGGCCAGAATTGCAATCAATATAAAATTACGTCATAAACCAACTCTTGAATATTAGTGAGGCAAAGCGTCTCCGACACAAGAAATATCATAAACCAACTCTTGAATATTAGTGAGGCAAAGCGTCTCCGACACAAGAAATATCACAAATGACTCCTGGTTCATCTAGGCGTACTTCAAGAGTTCAAGTAAGATCCAATATATAGTGAAAAACACCTGTCGACATCGTAGATGAGGGTCCGCGGAGAACCAGTAATACACAAGACCATCTTCAGATAGAGCTGTACTGTGCGTGGTCCCAGCTGATATGGCCACCATATGCAGCCGCTCTGAAATATGAAACTTGAGAGGTAAAGGTCCGGCCTTCTTCGTGTTCCTTGCCACTGCGACGCGCCGGGGATTGACCATTTTATAGCCCCATGTGTACAACTGATAGAGAGGAATTGATATTAAAAAACCGGCATGTCCATCAGTGACAGTGACGTGTCAATCCAAATGCCTTGCATCTCACTCGATATAAGGAAAAATTTCCTGTTTATTAAGAATTTCAAGTGACAGCTGATACCGCCGAATAACTCCCAACTGAAAGAGGGCGTATGTCACAAACTTACCTCGCCTTCAGCACCCAAAACTACAGTGTGATACTTGGCTGTCGCCACAGAGGTCAATTTTTTTCCCTTCAGGCATTCCACTAAACGGGGAATGTAGTTTGACGTCGAATTCGATGTCCCATAGCCCAACTGGCCTTCAAGATTGCATCCCCATGTGTAAACTTCCCCGGCTTCAGTCAGAACTGCATTATGCTTATTTGCTGCAGCTACTTTCACCACTTTGGCCTTCAACGTATTAACGCGGCGGGGAGTTGGCTGTGTATCGACGTGTGGGTACCCAAGCCGGCCCTCTGTGCCGATTAAACAAAGCACAAATCTTCGTTATCCTACTAGAGGAGTTTCAGAGGAAGGGAATGAAGGCCGAGAAAAAGATCAAGACATAATCTACTTAAATGAACAACCTACAGTCGCTCTTAAACAATTACAACTCAAGCAGAACCTCCATCCATTCGGCATTACACGCACCCAAAAAAAAGGCAAACCTGCAACATGTATCTATCGTGTATGTAAAATATACCTCTGTTTGAACCCCAGGTATATACTTCTCCATTATCTGTTGCCACAATAGTATGGTGTTTCGCTACAGCTATTACCCTGACAGGTCGACAGCCAAAGCTGTTCGTAATCTGGCGAGGGGTAATGACTGCAACCTGCCCACTGAACATGGGCACGGGAAAGCGAACGTTAAACGCCATCATAATGATTGTCTTCTAGTTTTAATTTTGTATTACTTAGCTAGTGATGAGTTCCGAATTTTAACACATAATCATCGTGTTCGACAGTGCTACCCGCAAGTTCAAAAGCTTCGAATTTTCAAGTAGTACGAAAATATGAGAAGAAAGCGGGAAACATGGACCTTTACCCCTGCGAGGGAGAAAGTCAGACAATAGTCCCAAATCTCCTCGAATCTAACTTTCATGCTCCTGTAAGAATGTGAACATTATAGATTCATATAATTCATGATTATGTTGCTCTTCGCTTCCTGAGTTTCTGTAAACGATGGACCTCGTTTGCTTTACTTCCAGCAGCATGGACATTTGGAACATCAGCTCCGGATATACCTGTGAATGTCAAAATCCGGATGTCCCAAACGACCACCCCGTCCAAAGCCCCATGAATATACTTCACCAGTAGCTGTTAATGCGACGCTGTGGAATTTTGCTGCGGCAACAGAAACAATGTCACATCCTTGCAGAGCGTCTACACGAGCTGGTACTCTTAAGATCCCGGTGGTTCCAATTCCCAGCTGATAATTGGAGCCGTTGCCCCAACTAAACACTTCCTTCGCACCTGTATTCCATAAGAAGAAAGTTTCAGTTAATAACAGAAAGACCTTCACATATTACCAACGTCAGCTAATGCATGACTTAATCTCCCGAAGACAGGGTGGTGCACAACAGTTCGACAAATCACGACATGGCGATGGCAAAAGTAACGGGAGCCTTTTCGTAAGCACAGACCAGTGTACAGAAGACACCTTCAGAGAGAACTTGAAAATAGCGAAACAAGCTTAGATAATGCGATTGACGCACAAAGTTCAGCTCGTCAAACTTTAAATACCTGTAAATGTTGAATTAAGCAATGACTGCTTCAAGGGACCCGAGGTAAGGTCGACAGGAGTCCGGCCCTTAGAGTCTTCAAGAACCAAAGATGCGCCAGCCTCGATGAGCAATCCAGCAACAGCAAGGTGTCCAAAGTGAAGAGCCCTGTGAAGACTGCTCCATCCTGATTCTCCATCCTGTGGAAGAGTTCATCAATCAGAAACATGTCTCTGGAACACAATAAAATCAAAGCTTGGGGCTTTCCTATGCCCTGGCCTTGAATGTGAGCAGACATAGCAAATTTGACTACTCACGACTTGAACAAGTTTTCCAAGGAACAAACAATTGAAATTATTGCCTTGTCTGTGAACTATCACAACAGAGACGAAACTATAACTTAGCCGAAACATCTGCCGTATATGAACTGGAGATGGAATAAAAAGCACAATCATAAAGTTCTTGGACAAGCATACACACTCAAATGAAAGGTATATGGAAAAAGAGGTTGTACGCGTGCGTTGGGATCGGCTCCGGCAGCTAACAGCCTCCTCACAACAGGGAGATGATTCCTCCAGGCAGCGATGTGAAGTGCAGTGGAGCCGAAAGCATTCTTCTCGTTGACGTTCCCATTTTGTTTTTTCAAATGAAGCAGAGCTATCTCGACGTCATGTACACTGCCCGTGCGCACTGCAGCCCAAAGATCTCTCACGGTCCCGCTTGACGAGTTTTTGCGGTTAGATACAGGTTTCGACAACATGCCAGCTGAGGGTACGCTGAATGTGTCCATAATTGCAGATACGGAGTGACCACGATGTCACAGAGACGAGAAATATTCAAACTTTCGTTTGCGGCTCCGGCCTGTGTACAAGTTGCAACTTTTTGTAATTGCACAAAGAGTTCAGAACAAAGGCTATGCTTGCCGGCTTGCTTGCTTGCCCATGTACAGTGTTCACATCAGCTCCAGGCAGAGTCAATTAACTCCATATGTATTGCCCAGTGCATTCAACGACCATCGTCATCCATGTCTTCACCAAAATAGAATGTCAGCACCAGAAGCCATTCACATACTCCCATAGTTCTCCGTGGGGAGACGACGTTTCCCAGGAAGAAATGTCTCTTCCTTGTAAAAAAAGTGAGCACTTGCATCTAGTCGAATGGCGCAGCTTACTATTCTCCAACACAACCATGTCAGCTTAAGTCAGATCCAGCTTCTTTCCGTCTTCAACATGCCTGCATGTAAGATCCCACATTTCAGTTCACCTATTCATAAGTACCAAGTGCTACACTCCATTTGGAACACTAGCAGGTAAAAAATCACTCGCGGAAATCGTAATGGTCCAATGAAAGTCCGGCTTGCTATCCAGGGGCTGTGGAATTTGCCGCTGAATATCGGTCAAAGCGTGAGCCAGAAGGAACCGAGAGTGAACTAGGAGCTATGTCTGCCATGACAACAACGAAACACATGACTGCACTCCACAGCCTCCTTTACAGCACATCTAAGTGTAGCCATTTTTTAGCACAATTCTGTAGTTCTTGCAATGGCCCTGGAGGAGACACAGTGATGTAATGACCTCAAATCGGACAGTTCTTGGAACGCCTGGAAGTAATCTTCTCACAAATCCAGGACAACCTGCTCGGTCAGCGTGCAAAGATGATGCCTTCAAGGACTAATGTGGGCGATTTAGCGACATTCAGAGTTGCTCATATATATTGCCGTCGAACAAAGTCAACAATCCTCCGCATAGTTGCAGCAGGTGACCTTCAATTTCTACCATCTCCAGCTCGAACTCCGTGACCCAGCCAGAAACTCAACCTACAGAGTAAAGGCTACATCACAGCACGAAGCTAATGAACCACCTAAACGTAAGACTCGTTCAAATCCGATTAATCCACGTCTCCAGAAGGCTTGCAACGCACTCAAATTTCCTCAAAAATACCGGAGCCGGAGCCTAAGGTGAAACCAAATACCTTCGGTGCAGATCTACTGTACGGTAGTTCGACTCTTCAAGTCAGTTGAAGATCTCTACTCCCTCTCTCGACGCCTCTTAACCACATTCGCCCTCGCCGGGCCTCGAGTTTCTCAAGTCCTCCCCAAAAAAATGCATCCGCCCTCCGTTCCGCCTCGAAATTCGATCGCTGCACCTTTCTTCTACCGTGAGATCGTCTCACGCCCCTACTCGCCCTCGGTTGCAGCTGACCCAAATGGACAAGCCATGCATCCCTCAGATTGTGCTGTCCTTGTGGTGGCGACTCGAGGTCGCGGTGGATATTTCCTCCTCCACTAACACATTCACTCTACATACGACGAACGGACCCTGAGGTCAATTCCAGTTTGCGCTTGGCAACGCTTGGCCAGCTTATGCAAACCAAACCACGCTAGGGTAGGTCGAGTGAACTCCACCTGGCCAACCCAACTCACGCCAACCGGAGACCGCTTGTTGCTGCTGGTGGCGCCAGAGTCGCCAGATTCCGGGATCCCCAGAGCGAATGCCGTCGAAAAGTACGCAGGCTTCTGAACGAAGGCGAGAAAAGGGACGCCTCGTTGCTTCACTGGAACTCGTCGCCATGCCTGCGGTAGGCCCCTGGCCTAGGCTTGGCCTAAACTGGCGTTACTGGCCCAGCAGTTGCTCGCAGGATATCCTATTGCGAAATCCATCATTTGTCGACGTCCGATGTCCTTCGAGTATATTCTTGGCGGACTTTAATTATATCCTCCGTTCAGGTGTACGAGGCTCGGAGCCTTGCGGCTTTCTGAGAGCCAATGGGAGAGCCGCAGCTTCCACGCTGGCACCCAACGCTAGCCACAGTTTGGTTACTCCCTCTGCGCTGAATGCTCCCACTCCGTTCGACACGTAGTGGTTAGATCATTTTATTATTTTTTATGGAAAAAGTATTCAATTAATTTCGTGAATTGCAAAATCTTTGAAGTTGTACAAGTTTTTAAAACGTAATTTTTTTTTGATGTGAAATATCTGATTTGATGTGTGTTATTTTGTCAAGCATGTTTGTAAGTTCTAAAAGAGATGTATTATTATTGAAATATTTTAATCATAATATATATCCATTTCATTTATTCTAAATTCATACAATATTTTTTTAATTAGTTAAAATTAAAGAGGTACAGAATTTTATTATTATTCAAAAAATATGAAAAAATATTTAAATAATAAGATGTACTGATAAACTATTTTTTAAAATATAATTTTACAGTAATAAGATTTAAAAAAATTTAAGAGTTTACAGGATTTTATTTTCTGATTTTTATGTTATCTTTAAAAATATTGATTTTTTGGATCTATTATTTATTATTTTAATTTATCACGAGATACAAAAAAAATATTTTTATCTTAAATAATCTAAATAAGTATCATCCATAAAAATTTATAGCATGATATAATAAAATATATGCATCAATAACTGAGTGACAAAATTTTATTTTCTAAATAAATTGAAACTTTTACTAAGTTCAAAAAATTAAAATTAAACCAACTAAATTTATACTTTTATATCATAATAAATATTCAGAATGTCAATGATTAATTCAAGTCTTGATTAATTTTAGTTGGTTCAATATCAGTTGATTGAATCCATGAAAAAAAATTGTATTGAAAAACTAGTGTAAGTTTTGTGTACCACAATTCAATATGTTAGTGCAAACAATGTATTTCACATGTTATATAATTTGAAATACTTATTTTTGTAAATATTAGTGTCTGATTAATTAATTAATTAATAATTAATTTTATAGATAAAATTTATAATAGAAACAACTCAACGTGAGTGTGAATATCAATAAATAAATTAATAAATAATACGGATAAACATAAAAAATTATATGAAATCAAATAAACCTGAACTTGATAAATAATAAAAACTAAACCTTGACATGAAATTAGACCTAAAAATAATGTAAATAAAAAAATAATAATAAAACATTTTATAAATTTGAAAATCAAAATTGTTGTTAAAAATTGACTATGATACATAATCAAGGGAGCGGCTAGTAATTCTTCACTTGGAGCTAATTAGCCCTCATTCTACTATAAGCAATTCTCTCATTAGTCAATGCAGGGTGGTAGGGATGCAGTAGCAACTATAGGGTGTTCCACCAATCAGATAAGAAAGCATAGTAGGGTGATGACTAATTAACCCTAAGTGAGTGATAACCAGTACTTCAAGTAATAAATTATGATAATTTTTAAATTTTCAAAAATCATGGTTCAACGACTATGATGCATCTTTGATGTTGCAAATATTTTAATATTTAATGCAAAATCAATTTGAAATTAAAAATATTTATATAAAAATTAATCACATCAACGTAATTGTATAATATTTAATTTAATTTATTTGACCATTTTGATAATGAAATTTTACATTTGATATTGATTAGTAGCATTAAAATATATGTATCAGTGACATTAAAAATTCTATAATGACTTCAAAATCAATCAAATGGTTTTATCTAAGTTATCATTTTGAGTTGTTTTTTTAATGCAAAATGAAAACACAAATAATTGAAAAACGTAGAGATAATTGATTTTATGAATATAATTAGTTTAAATTAAAAATAAGATAGAAAAAATTCACATATAGGTTGCTTCATGATATGAAAACAATAAGGTACAATAAAATTATTGAAATAAAAATTTGCTAATTGATGATTACAAACAAAACATGATAATACCATATATTCGTATTTTTCATCTAACACCTACCTCGAAATCTTGTACTCCGTCTTTATATTATAATTCGTATGCTATTCCCCTCCTTCCACCGCTCTCCCACTCTGCGGTAATGAATTGTTGTCGTAATGCCCGTGATTTTACATATCTCATCTGATGCGAACATCTTTCACTCTACCCTTGAACTGAGAATTTACTTTTACTCCAAAGTTACAATATGGGATGATACTTTTTACTTCCACTTTCATGGCTATAAGATCCACGAATAGTGAGGGATATGTGAAGGATCTATCCTCAAACTTAAACCTTCAGCATTCGTTGAACATAGAAAATGTACGAATAATTTCGTTGGACATGTGCTAACCTTTGTCATGATAGTCGTACTGTTGCACATTTATTGATTTTCAAGTGCATCAAGTATTTTAGATAGAACATACGCATTGCATGCACATATATTTTAGCCTATGGCTTTGAGATGAAGATAGTTTTGATTTGTGGTGCTTGTTTCTAACTTCATATATCAATGAGGATAATGATGATATGCATGTACTAGACAGTAGAGTCACAGATTGAGGAAAGAGTGTTTCATCACGAGAGACACCAAGTTGTTCCTTTGTTGGGCCTTAGGTTGAATTTTTTTGGATCACTTCAACTTCTGCGTTTCATCTATTTGCTTTGATTTCATCTCACTATTTTTTTTTTGCATCTCTTATCAGACTAAATAATTGGGAAAGCATTCGATAGTAAGTAGAGATAAAGAATACTTGATAACTAAAGACAAAGAATGGAGAATTGACTTCCATTATTAAATATATTTTTCAAATTTAAATAATAATCTCATTAGTTTCTGATCGTGTTGGTTATGAAACTAGGGGGCGTACCAAAAACTGTAGAAGTGGCTCGTATCTCAGATTAGGCGTTAAAGTGATTTTATAAATTGCTTTTGTTTCCTGCTCATATCAAATTTATCAATTGGATCATACCCATTTTCCAAAGACCCGAGGGGAATGCTTAAATGAAAAAGTGCGATATTTCAAGGCTCAAGATCAATCCAACGAAGGGTACACAAACATTCTTCACACACAAAAAATATGCTGGAATATACTGACACTCTACAAAATCAAAACGGACATGTTAAGAGGAAATTCAAGGTTGCAATTGGTTTAAGTAGTTCGAAATGATTCTGCTAAGCTATGATATCGTATGCACGTTGGGAAAATCATACTCATGGCTATCTACTGTTTGTCGTTCTTCTCCGTGACTTCACATGGCAGCAATGAGGTGTTGCGTGATGCAGACGGTCTCTAGTCTCCACGTGCCTTCAAGTCAACGAAAGGGAATTTGTTTTCACTTCGTCATCCCCATCTGTACTCGACGTTTTGCTTGCCTGGTTCCCACAGCAAGTTTTTTTCATACAATCATTGGAACTTAAATACGTATGAAACCTACAGCCATGTCTGTCTCCGGGACAATGTCCACCTACGATAGACAACAACCAGTGCTGCCAGCCTGATGCAAGTAGAACACTCGTTAAAGTCATGCATTTGGTCTCCTCCTTGTGCATATGGCGCCTAGGAAAAACACCGAAGGTGTCCATTACCCATGTGCAAAGACATCCATCCAGAGCAGTAAATTTCTAATCGACAAAAAAAATGCGTATGCAACATTTGTTAAGAGACTGACGGAAACTGGATTCTACACCACGGCATGTGCAAACATCGGCCTTGAATCGAAGAAAGTATTACTTTTTATTCTTTCGACCAATTTCTAAGCAGAACATCTACGAAGGGACGCAGAGTCTTACAAGAATTTCCAAATGTCTATGATACATTCGACGCGAGGACCAAAGAAATTCAGTCCTACTTATGTGAGGGTGAAAGTGGAATCTAGCAAGGATGAACAGATTCATCCTGAAAAATACTGATCTTGCCACCGTACTGAGGAAACCTACGACCAGACGCCACTCGCCTCAGAGTAAACGAGCTGGCGGCGGCGGCATTAAGACGCCAACATAGTAGATTGAATCTTTGCACATGTCAAGTTTAAACATTCAGACTGACATCGGTTCGTCTTTACATGAAACATGCCACCCGCAAAGGGTGCATTTGGAAGCAACACACGAGCTCATATGCCGCGAGATGGAGACTTGTTCTCTTCGAGAACACTATCCAATCGTCAAGGCTCGTCGTCGAAACAGCCAACTGTGTGAAGACCCACACCTCATAATCCGAAGTAACTGACGGAACCAGCAGAAGTCCACACGTTAAGATCAACTATCAAGGAGAAGGTCCCAAAAGACAGCTCTGAAGGCCAACTAGTTGGAACCAGGCCTGCATGTGACAAAATTCCGGAGTGCGCTCGCCGATCTTTGACGACGTTTTTGTACAAAATGTAGAATTCTCGATGAACCTGCCTTCGTTACTAGCGCTTGAAACGCTCCAGTGCCCGTGGCAAGACAGCGGATGGGGCAGCCTCTTTGCCCTGGGCCTTGCGATCAGCCTTCAGCTGCTCGGCAATCAAAGCTCTCTTGACAGTAACTATATTAGAATCTTTCCTGCGCACTCTCTTGCTGGATTTGTTTCTTCCCTTGGTCTTCTTTTTCTCCTTCACTTTCAAGCCCAACTTCTCAGCTATTGCATCATTTGCTTCCTTGGCTAGCATGTCCTTGGACAACTGGTTCTCAGAAGCCGACCGCTGAACTGCACCAATCTGTTCTGGATCCAAAACAATCATCTCTGGCTGCAACTTGTCCAGGAGTTTGTGTACTTCACCTTCACGTCGTTGCTTCAAGCTTTCGTAAGGATTTGATACGAAAGAGTCGAAGTTGGGTTCTCCGGCACCAGGAACTAAAATGGACGATATTCCATTCCCATGTCCAATAGCTAGCACATCCTCATATGGGCAGAAAGCTAGATCTTGCACTTGAGAACCTTTTGACACCCGATGAGCCATGTAGGGTTTGCTCTGAAGAAGTACACAAGATCAGAAAGTTATATCCACTCCAAGAGGCTTAGTAGAACCAAAACATTCAGCCAGATGGAAGTAAAGAAAAAAACAAATATTTCCCTACCTGCTTCGCGGTCAGCGCGTCCCTCCATATTTGGACGCCAGATCCACTGCTGACAGCGAGGAGTCCCTTTTGACTTATATCCAGCGATCTGGCAGCGGTTGGAGCAAAGTAGAAATGCAGAGGAGAAAATTTGCGTACATCCCAAATCTTCACTTTCCCATCGATACCAGATGTAGCCATTTGGCGTCCTTCTGTGTCGTAGGCAATGGCGGTTACGGGTCCTTTATGACATAGCATGGAGACGAGTGGATTCGGCATGTTGGGACTCCACATTGTCACAGTACCATTGTTGTGACCTAATCCGACGACCGAATTATACGGGTTCATGCGGAGCACCCCACAACGTCCCAAATGAGTACGCATGTGCGATAGCATCTGTCCAGTGCTTGTGTCTTGGTATCGCAATATTCCGGCCTTATCCGTGGAGGCCAGTAAAAAGTGGTGCGGTAGGAACTCCAATTTGAGTGGGCTAATGTGATCCTGCACTCCATATTGATACCAATTAACACAGACGTACAACAAGCTGCTTCTTTACAGACAAAAGAGAGCTTAAGGAAACATGACAGACTCAGAAGTTAGCATGTTCTTTTCCCTGAAGGTTCTGAGTGGAACCTTACACTGGGAAATCCATCCGTGGACAACAATTGTAACGGTTTTCTAAACTTCTATGGGTAGAAGGGCGATGATAAATACGTACTCTAAGGCAATGCACCTCCACACCTTGTTTATCGTAGATGTATACATATCTGCCAGATATATATCGTCAGAAACAGATACTTTGATAACAGATAACAGAAACTTTAAGGTCAGTCCACGTATATGATGTCCCTGACAGCTGATAAACCCAGATCATAAGTACAATTAAGTGCGAAAATAAAGATGAAGTTGTTTGGCTTCAGGGGGTGACATCATGGTACACGCAGACGAAAGGGGAGGTCTCGGAAAGCACTAATAAAATGCATTCTTGAACAGGAATGATGTGACAAATCTATCAAGGTATAGGCGTACTTCTTTTGAGCAACAGCGAAGAAGAGTTCGTTGTGCAGAAACTTGACATCTCTGACTGTCTCCATGACCTGTTGACATGCAGGATAAATCGTGTGTTCAGAGAGCCCGTCAACATATCCTGGGGCATCCCTTTAAAAGAGGGCATTGAGCGCAGTAGGTTAAGAGTGAAACGGTAAAGAGAAGAAAAGAGGGCAATACAATTCCAAAGTTCAAAATGCAATTGAAGTCTACAAAAATGTGCCAATGCTGAGATCGAGCCATCGGTACCTGAAGTTCCGTAATGAGTTTAGACTGCTTCCAGTCCATAATAGCAAGATGTCCCTTCCGACCGCCGATGACCAGGTATTTGCCGTTGTTGTTATAATCAAGAGTATATGGCCCTAAATCTGCAATCGCAGAAGGAGTTCGAGGATAACGATAAGAGAACATGAGAATATGAGAAGAATCATACACACTAAAGCGAGATTATTTGGTATAAATACATAGCACATTTCTGCAAACATGGTACAAGATGTTTCTCAAGTTTTGTAAGCTCAGCGTGTACATATTGATAACAAAAACGTTGTGGGGAAAATAACTCCATTCGACCAATCTCTCGTGATGCTACGCTACTGATTCCGAAGTGGTAGGAACAAAAACGCCGAGAGATAAACATAGTGATGAGGTGTAGAGTCAGACACACTTAGAGACATTACTTTGGAAAACAGGGGAAAAGATCCGACCACATGAAAAGAAGACTGACCTTGCAGCTGGAGGTCAAATGCTTTGCGAGCACTCGTGATGTCCACCTCCTTGACAATAGTTTCTTGAGTAAAATGCTGAGTTTGCTCAAGACCCTCCGCTTCCAGATATCCTCCTTCACTAGGAAGCAGCCACTGATAACATGACGACAAGCTTCAATCTTAGAACAGCTTTACTGGAAAAAGTATTCATAACTACCAACGGAGTGAAGGCGGATTGACATAATTCGAAGATGATTTTTACAGAAAGACAGACCTAATATTTTGAACTCATTCAAAGAATGCCTGCCATAGAGTGGATCATATGGCTGGACGGCGCTCATGGCTTGAGCAAGAAAACTGGAGGGAACGAAGTGAGGACCATCTGAGCGAGAGTAGCTTCTGTCATATGATGTTGGTGACAACAATCAGGTGTCAACCAAGGGACCAGGAAACCCCAGGTCACTTGTAGCCTGCCTGCCAGCGCCTGGAGACGACAGACGCCCAAGACTAAACTGGACGGTACTAGGAAAAGGTAAGGTACGTGCGAAGCTCACAACGAGAAAGACAAAGGTCACAACCAGAAACACGAACATAAAGACTAGGGGTGCCTGCAGTAATACGAAGATTTCACAACAATGACACCCAAAAGAAGTTCTAAACCAATATACCCTAAGCCCGATATGGTACGTTAAGTGATACAGTTGATGGTCAGCTAAAGACGTGACAGGCCAATGACGAAAGAACCCAAAGACTGAAGAAAGAATACACATAAACTGCAAATTACGACGGACCAAAGCGCGAAGTATTTCAAGACTTGTCAATAAAATCTGCGGCCTTGGAACTGTCTTTTCTAGGCAGGAGAGAGCAATTAGACACCCGAGAAGACATATGCCACCGCCGAGAGTCGGCTCCAAAAGCTATGGACGACTGAAGAGGAATCCACAAATCACTCAAACAAACAGACACTCTGAGTGACGGTGGATTGAGCTCTTTGAGCTCTCAAGAAACAAAAGCATCCAAAGGACATAAATCAATTTGGAGCTCTGAGGGACTGAATCAGTCAGGCCACAACACTGACACAGGGAACAATTCATACTTCTATTCTTGATGACTTTCGAAAGTTTAAGATAGCACCAGTGTCATATGAAATAAAATGGGAACTTAAAGTAGAGATCGGCTTCTATATGTTTCGAGAACAATGCGGTGACTGCAAAGAAGTTTAAGTAGGACTCGGTGAAGATTTCACCCGCAGAATTGCATCACCAAAAATTTCATACAAATTGGGAACTTTGGAGATTGGGCACAAAGGAGAGGAATACAGGAGCTACTAGTAAATCGTGTGGTGAGATGACGAGAGCAAAATAAATTGTTACTACATGATTCAGACATTGATATCCAACAGAAAACTGAAATAAATTAGGCAGGTGTCTTACACCACAAAACATGAAAATTCAGGGATTCCAGACACGAGTAATGGATCTCGCAGAAGAGTGAACGGGTTAGAGAATTAAAAGGTCGCATTCAGAGTTACCAACCTGCTCTGTTTGAGCAGCAGTGATGGCCGCTTCTCCATACAGCTTTTCTTTAACAGTCAGCTGACCTTTCAATTTTTTGTCGGTGATTCCCTGCAAAACGCAATGCGTATATCAGAATCTGCCCGCGGACATTGTACAGGGCCCAGACAAGTGTGAGCGGTCGATGAAGTTCGCATAGCCTCCAACTACCTTCAACGCAGGTCCTGCTCCTCTCTCGTATTTCTTCCGCAAAACAGCGGCTGGATTGAGCGTCCTTTTGTCCTTGACGGATTTCGAAATTCCCTTCTTCATCGCTGGACCAGTGCTCTTCTTCTCCGTCTTCTGCTTCTTCTCTTTCTTCATCCTTCCCCCTCTCACGACGTCCGCGGATCTTCTTGACCTGCAGCGCGGACTCCACTCCGCAGGCAAGATGGCGGAAGGAGATGCTCACGATTGCCGAACGCGAGCAATGCTCCACCTCCGTGACGCGAAGGCTACACAGCAGAACCAAAACCCTGGCTGCCCGTCGCCCTCGGGGTTTTGGCATTCGCTCGAGTCGATAGTCGAGAGGCGAGAGCTTTTGTGACAGAATGACGACGAGGGGCCTTCCCGGCACAGCAATCTTTCCCGACCACGGAGGTTGGCCACTCCGGCCGGCCCCAACTAGGCCCGTCTTTGTCTGCCGGTGACCGTCCGACTTGCCTGGTTTTTCCCCGAGGCACGAGGAGGTTCGTTCTGATTGCCTCTCGAGGGCTCGTTGTCGCAATCAGGGATAGAGTTTGCGTCCTACTGCCAATTCGCCGCTTTAGGTCTGGCATCGTTCTGCGGGGAAGACTCTTTCCCATCGTCGTCCTCCGGAGGTCCAGTTTCTGAGGCAAGAGAAGGACGACATTCCTTCGCTGGAGGGCGTACTCATCTCTTCTCGTGTAAGTGAACAAGAGCACACCATTGTTCTTGTGTCTCTTCTTATGATGCAACGCCTCACGAATATCTTGACAATGCATGTTCTCAAGTTTTTCTTGAAATGAGCATACTCTATCTGTTTGGAAGATATGCATTTACACAATATGTGATCCATGTTATCTTGTCATCATGGAATTTTCTACGAAACGAAGGGCAGAAAGCAAGCAAATTCCAAAGCAAGTGTTTGGTAACTTTTTGTAACATCCAAGTAGATATATATTTGGTCACCAAGGATGAGATAGAAAATGAGGTTTCAAGGTGTTTATGAAAAGATCACCAAAGATGAGATAAAAATGAATTTAGGATATATTTTATGAAAAGAATAAGAAAAATTCGAATATATAAATTGAGACTTTGGTAGAAAATTCTACATTAAGAGTAATTACCAAACCTTCATACTTAATCGACAGTGATGAATTAAGTTGAATGTGAAAAGAATGAGTACATGTGACCTATCGACCATGACTCGAACTCCAGACAGAAGTATAAAACGAACTGTATACAAGTAAAGAGTACATTTTGAATCACCATACAGATGCATGTAATTTAATTATTCAATTTCAATTGATTTCCTCAGTACATCACGCAGTTAGGTCCACACACTAGGTGCACATTCCGTCTGTACAGTTTCTCCATATCAATGCTTTGGTCTCAATCATGTGTACGGTCTTGTGACAGTTGCGCGAAAGCGACATTATCAACAGCAGATAGCATTACGAGAAATGTTAGTTTAGCTAGCAGTTTTCTTCCCATTTTTTCGCGCAGAAGATGAAAAATGTGTAGCTTGCTGTGTTCCACATAGTTGGTAATTAAGAGTTACAACTGAACATTTAATTGTTGTAGGAATTTTTCCGTTTTGCATCATGCAATTTTATCCGGATCTGTTATAAATTTTTCAAGGTATATATTTTGAATCTTTAAAAGGTATTTTTCATTTTTAAAACTTTTCTTCGGAACTTTCTTCCTTCAGTTACCATATTATTTTGAGTAAAATTTCTTCATATTAGATGATGATAGCGACAGTTTTAGGGGAAATGTAATGGTGCTTTTCTTTTCACAAACTAACATTTCATTTCAATGATGTACATTGTTCAAACTAGGGTACGCACTTTTCTCTGCATATTTCATCCGTGTCCGGAATTGAATTTGTCCTTAAGTACTCACATCTTTTCATCGAATGATAAGCGATGTCAACGGGAAGTACAAGAAACAGCGCTAAAACATTGCGTTTTCTACCAAATTCTTCACTGGCTCCCTTTGCCTCAATCTGTATCAATGCGAAACATGGCACAGGACGGTGCTTGCAGCTCGGGTTCAAACGCTCAGATAAAACTCAGACAGACTTTGCATCATCATCATTCAAGAAGCAGCTAAAGATATCAATCACAACAGTAATCAATAAGTTCATCTATTATCGCCACAAGTTACTATTTAAAACTTTCCCCTCAAATAAGATTGCAGAGCTAATGTGCAAGTCCGTCAGAAATATTCATCGACAGCCAATTTGCGGATTCACAAAAATCATGTGTAGCGTTTTTTAACGCGCGAATAAAAGTGAAAAAAAAGTACACCTGTTATTAACCACAACCATGAATTGTGCAGTTGGGAGATAACAGTATCGAGTCTGTCATTTGTCTTTTACACTCCGACCGATAAGAAGGCTCGTGTGGCCGCCTAAAGAAACTGTCACCAACCCTCCTCTGGATGCCCAGGCCAAGAAATCTTCCAGCTAACACTTGTACAAGAGTGAGAATAAATTGTGAGCGATGCAGTGAACATCCACTGAGACTATACCCTTCCCGAAGAGAACCGCCACGATCAGCCGCTTCCGCCATCATCCCAGAACCTCAGATTCTCCAAGACGCCAGTCTATGGCAGCGCTGTGAAGCTTTCGTCAAAGACCTCAAATCTCTCTTACTGCTTACATGATGGCTTCTTCCTGGTGGGTGTCGATGGTAACGTCAGAGGTGGGGTACGCAATGCAGGTCAGGACGAATCCCTCATCCATCTGGTCATCGTCCAAGAAGGACTGGTCAGCTTGGTCGACCTCGCCAGCGGTGACCTTTCCTGCGCAAGAAGAGCAAGCACCGGCACGGCAAGAGTAGGGCAGAGAGAGTCCGGCTTCTTCAGCGGCGTCCAAGATGTAAACATCGTCGTCCACGTCGATGACGGATTGGCCAGTGGGGGTGTTCAAAGTAACCTTGTAGGTGGCCATGCAAGTAACCCTGGACCTGCTGGAGGTAAGACCGAAAGCCTTCGAGACATTGGTGTTCTTCATCGACACAGCCTTCAGGCTGCTGACGGGGGCGGCCAAGGCCACCACGGCGGATGCGCACACTGCCATAGCCATTCCTGCTGACTGCCTGTTTCGATCTAGCAGTGACTGTTCGAAGAAAGGAGAGTGGAGAGTGCACGAGAGATGCTGGAGATACTTCTGAGGATGAATTACGAGTTGCCCTGAGAAGTATAGAAAAGCTCGCGATCCTCGATGGAGTTGAAGGGGATGAGAGACGGGAGGCGGGCCGAGCAAGGGATGGTGCTGAGGCTCTAGGGTGGACGACGAGGGAAGGCCGGGCTGTCCAATCGCGAGACTCAAGGCTCATCCGCAACCCGCCACGTGTGCTCAGCCGCGATGACGCAGCACATAGGCGGTGCGTGCCATCCACAGGTCGCCTTATCGCCTGCCCGGGCATCGCTCTCCCTTTCCGCTCTGAGGTTCGACGCCGCGGAGCGTTCATTGGCCGAATGGTCATTGGACCCGTCGGGATTTGCCCGCGTGTCTGGGGGTCACCCGATGGGACCTTGCTGACTGGCCATCCGGGTGCGTTATCCGCACACGCAAAGTGCTTTTGTTCTTCGACATGCGGCTGATATTCGCTTCCTGTTCGCGACGCTGCTGCCGGAGAGACGGAATTTGGCTCTTCTTGTTGTTCTGTCGTTTCTCGATCGACAGTCCTGCACTGCCGCCTCTGGATATTGTGCTCTGATTTCTTGAGGTCAAGAAGAGCTGGGCTCATCGTGAGGCCCGGTTGACATGCTAATAGCTAAGTTCGTTCGATCGTTTGTTTGTTTTTTTATTTTAGCATCTTGAGAACCCATTGTAGGAGATGTGGATCACAATCGTGACGAACTACACTTCTCAATGCACCCGTTGATTGAAATTTGATGAGCTTGAGTTTCGTTGTAGCTATTGATTTTCCAATATCAATAACATGTTCCACACTAGCCCATTTTGGGGGAAATTGGGAATCGAAGCAAGATTATCTCATATCTAACATGCAGAAAATAAAACCACACACTATGGTGTACCTACAATCACTACTGTTTTTGCTCGTCGCTTTGCTCAATATAATGGGCCACATGTTGTCCATGTTCGTAGCCGTCGTTCTTTTTAATCATTTAAAACATGTATGTATTATGCAATAAACATTTGGGGTCTTCATGCTATAACCTCTAAACTTAAAAAACCAAGATGAGAATTTTTTTGCCTTTCCGCCCATAATGAATCTGAATCAAACCTTTCTTTCTGATAAAAATAGTAAAACTGTAGCGTTACATACCAAATTTCCTCCTGTCTTCCTTATTTTGGACCGAACCACTCCCAAAGTAACGGTGTGAAGCATGCACTCAATGACATTTTAAATTTGTTTTCTTTGATCCAAGGTGTGATCTCTCAATGTCCCGTGGCCACAAAATAGACATAAGAATATGTTCTTTATGATAATTTTTTCTTATGAAAAATTCTTCCTTTGTAAATGAAATCAATTGATTAAATGATCATATAGTAGATAAAAAAAACTCCTCAAATCACATTCACTTTATGATCCTTATGTTAGACAAGAATATAATTCGCCCAAATAAACAGTACTATTGATAAATAAAGAAAGGAAATGTTACAGACCAGAGCACAGCAGCTCTAAGCAGTGCAGCAATTGGGTCACACAAATGGCCTAAGGGAGCCCGAGGCCCTGTGCGAAGGTGAACATGTGGACGAAGAGCCCGGTGGAAAGGCCGCCATATGTAACGGATGGAAGTGGCTCGGCTTTAAAACGTGGCCGCTCCTTCAGCTCATAATCCCCACCGCTCAGCAACATGTAGCGCCCGCGCCAGACAGGTGGCAATGCTGCGACCCTCAAATCGGTCGCACGGTGAGCGAAAAGCCTGCGGCCCAATTGCTGAATGAGCCAACAATGGAGCAGAAACTGGTCCCATGTGCACGACCAGTCGCGCTCTCTCGCACCGGAGCACGAAACCCGATCAATCTGTAATCAATGGAGAACGAACGAATGCCGCGAAACCAGGACCTAATCAACGAATGGTAGTGAAAATTAGTTCTTCAAACATTCGTTATTGTCCACATATGTCATGGACGCTCCAACGACTGAGATGTTTTACAAAAACAAAATAAGTAAGCCTATCTAGAGTTACACCGTCATAGTCAAGTAAATCTAACCTCCGTTATAATTTTCGAATTTCGAATTAATGAGGATTTAGGGAAGAAATATTTATGGTTAAAATTCATTATGTTCATGAATATGTGTTTGCAAATAAACACGCTACATATGAAAAGAAAAATGTCTCAAATATTTTGTGCAATAAAAGAATGATCAATGATACCATTATATACAACTATACTTCCCTTGATGAAATCTTCCAAACAAATATCAATGCTTACATCAAATGTAATTATTTTGAGGTAGTTAACTTACTTAACAACATCTTTCGTTGAATTGATATACCACTATTTAGTACTAGTCTTTCATAACTTGTTTCATCTCTGTATAAAGCTTTTTTTGAGTTGATATTCAATGTAAAAGTATTCAAATTAATTTACATCTAAAATCCAAGAGAGACACAACAACACAAAAATAACTTGGTTCACCTTCAAGAAGATAGCTACGTCCACTAAGTACACTCCGATACCTTTACTCCAGGTTTTGTTATAAAGATTGAATGTACAAGGGTATTTAACCCCTAGTCCAGACTACGCCTCAACTGTAAATAGCTAGGTCCAGAGGTTACTCCTTAATCGGAGTTAACCTCAACAATCTTTGCCTTAATTCGTGTTATGAAAACTCAATAACCATTCTAACCCATATTATTACTCCGCGGGAAGTTCTAGACAGAAAACTAACACAAGGCTACTCTTTAAATCAGAATTAACTATAACTAAGTAGTAGACATAATATGATAGAGTAATAATATACATAGATAACTAAAAATCATATCTCCCCCTTAATTCGTGTTAAGAAAACTCAATAACCAATCCACTCTTAACCTCTCATCTCAACTTAAGAAATGTACCTCTTAACTTAGGTTAAGTAACTAGTGCACTCTTAAACTCTCAGCATATACATGAACAGAGATTTTTACTTGTCAATATGGAGACTTTGAACACTCTCCCCCTATTTCAACGAGTTAGACATATTGAAAGATAATCCTTTCGACAAGAATTCTTTTGACGCTCACGACTCGCCGCCGCTCCGACTTATTGCGCTCGTGACTAATTGCGGTCCCCTCACTGTCGTCCGCGATTGACTACGTTCGTGACTGGATGTTACTTGTGACTAACTCTAAGAGTTGCTCATGACTTATTGCGCTTGCAATTCATTGTCATGTGTAACTATCTCTCATCGTTGTCCTCGACTAGCACTCTAAGTCACCTGCAACTGATCGCTACCGTCATCCGCGATTGACCAGGCCCACGCCTTATGGCGCCCGCAATTCATCGTCGGTCGCAATTTACTGCGTCCACGGCTTATTCCGTCCGCAACTTACTGCGTTGTGACAAGCATGTCACTTGTGATTGAACTTCATCATCGCCCATAACCTTCACTGTCGCTCGCAACTTATTCTACTTGCAACTACTTTTACTGTCACCCACGACTAACGAAAAGCGCGACTAACCATTAATGTCGTCCGTGATTCACTGCATCCGTAACTAATTGTCGTTCGCGACTGACTACATAGGCAACTCACTGAAACCGTCGCCCAGAACATACTGCGCTCGCGATTAACCATTACCTGTCGTCCGCAACTTATCAACAAATGTTGCATGTGATCGTTGTCTGCAACTTACGTCGTCCGCAACAACGTTGCACGCGACTATTGTGATTGTCAACCCAGATTCTCCGATCTATTGCATTGTATTTTAGCACGTAGAAAATCTAGATATAATATCAACTTGCTGGGCAATTTTCTCCGTCTGGGTCATCTTTCAGCTCCTGAAAATGGTCTACATGCTTTAGTTGCGTTAAAAGCTTTCTAACAATACCCAATTCATCAATCATCTGACGAAGATGCTCACGGACGGAATGTTTACAAACAAAATATATTGTCATCGTTGGTCCGGCCGTCATAATCACCGTCACTGTTGATTGACCGTCACTGTCGCCGTCAAGTGCTATTGACCGCGGTTCGTCTTTTCGAATGCGCTTGCGCCATCTAACGTAGTTTCCATCAAATGTGGATCACCGTTATCATGATTACACCGCCGAACGTAGTTACTCTCCGACCATAGTTAGCCTTTTTGACCGCAGTTCATCAGATCAACTTTGGTTGCTTGCCTACCGTGGTTGACACACCTGACGTTGTAGCCCGGTTGATGGCATTACATCCGATGGACCGCGGTTGCCCCTCCAACCACAGTTCATACTCCTAATGTGGTTGCATCAACCTAATGTGGTTGCATCAACCGCAGTTGGTTCAGACGACTGCGTTTGTCCAGTCCAGCTTAGGAGATGAAATAGAGCGAAATAGTAGAGGGCATGGCTCGAGAATCCACCACGCGGCGTGATCTTATAGAGCGTCCCGCTCGGAAAGAGGTCCTCGCCGCTCGGGGGCCATGCGGTCCTGCTCAGAGGTTGGTCCCCGCCGCTCGGGTGTCCTTCATTCCTTCCGACAGCCTACCTCCTCACACCATTGCCGCTCGCTTGCTCTCTTGTCTCTTCGCATCTATCATTGGGATCAAAGCAAACACTGATATTTGTTGGCCATTTGCGTCCTAAAGCTCTACTTCCCCGTCCAATTGTTGAACGCCCAAAGATTTGCACATGGAGTGTGTATTCTGGTTGTTCGTGCTTTGTATACAACCTCTTCGGCGTTGATCGCGGATAGAGACGCAAAAATTGGTCGGAAAACTAAGGAGCAAAACACCCGCATCCATGTCGAGACACTCACGAACTCAGTCGCCACAAATCTTCAATCTCATTGTCAAACCACTATGCTCAGAATTCTCTCATTTCAGATCCAGCTTTATGGCAGGAAGTCCGAACTCCATGCCCACCTGCGATTCAAGTACAACAAATCTCGTCTACGTCCCGATGCGCTTTAGCTCTGATGCCATAGTGCAGCCACAAATCAAAGACTTTATAGTGGACCAAAGGATTGGAAAACGGAAGGATGATGTTTAGAGTGTGGCAGCAATTGCACGCATGTTATCACGACACTTAGAGAAGCTCGGTGTGCAATTTCGCGTGACTAGGAGTACAT